TCGGGTAGTTCCTAGCGAAGTTACAGAGAATTTTGGATGTTAAAAAAATTGAAACTTTTCTTTACCGGCAGGAATGCTATTGGTTACCTCTCAACACAAATACTGGAATTTTTCGCTTTTAACAACAACATTTTTTTAATTTGAAGAATTTTCAAGTGTTTGAATTCCGGGAATGTGCTGAGGTTCCCGAAATAGATGAAAACTATTCCGGGAATGCATTCCGGGAATCGGTAAAAATTTTCCCCGGAATCGTTTGCATCTAATTCCGGGAATCTATTCCGGTAACCGTTCCCGGAATAGAGATGAAAATGATTCCGGGAATGTTTTTCCCAATTCCTGGAATGATTCTCCGAATTATTCCCGGAATAAGTTCCCGGAATGATTCCCGCAATTTTTTGCGAATATTGTTATCAATAGCCATGCTAATTTCATAACGACAGGACTCAATAGGGCGCCAAACGGAAGATCGAGTGATGGGAATCCCACTTCCGGATCTGGGTTCGAGCTAAAAGCAACGTCAAAAAAGGCAAAAGGACGCCTCCACGAATTTTTAAAATTTTATAATTTAAAAAATTAAATTGCTTTAAATCTGACAATTCTTCAAAAATTGAAAAATCTAGAAAATGGAGTGTTTTGTTGTGAGAATTCTCGATTTTTTAAAAACCCAAATTAAAAACTTAAATTTTAGATCAATTTAGATTTTTAATTTATAAAATTTTAGGTTTCAAAAATCGTATGTTGATTAGCTAAATTATACAAAAAATTTACTGATTATTGTGCTCATTGAAATATCCCAAATCCGTAATGATCACAGTAGCCGCAGCACCGGAAGTATGAAGCGCAGAAAAGCCATAAAATATCGCCTCGATTTTTGAGGTGTTTCGGATCGAATTTTTTAGCGAAAATCTTTGAAGAAACATTCGAAGAACAGGGAAGGGCAGTAAATATTATTGATTTTCCCCCTTATCAAAATCGGCCCACGAAATTTGACGAAAAATCGGCCTAGAGATCTGTTCAGTGATTTTATGGACCGGAAGTCAGAAAGTCTACCACATGGCTGAAAAGCTCCCGCATTTTTTTGCGAGGCTGAATGGACTGGAAATTCCTAAAATTGTAATTTGCTTGTGCGCTTCTTTTGAAGCGATTAATAGCAGTCGCGGAGGACCTTACTAATATATTACTTTGGGCGAAATTAAAACCTACGGTGAATTTTAAGAAGCTCTATTGGGGATGGCGTTTTCAAAATATCGAAAAAGGGCCAAATTTCCTTAAGCTAGCAGTTTTAGCAGTTTACCCATCTTCAGAGGTTATTTTTGTTTTTCCCCATAACCATTTTATTTTACATTATTTTGTCCTGGAATCAAAATTGTTGGTTTCTTTTTGAGGCTCTATCGAATGGCCTGAACAAAAACCCAAAAAAGCGAAAATGTAGAACATTTTAAGACGCTGGGGGAGAGAGGGGAATAAAGAAGATCGATTACGCAAGGTTAATTTGAATGAGGCATACTTGCTGGATTATCTTGCACGGCAAATTTTACGCCCATTCTTGGCCCATTTCCACCACAAGGAGAAATTGTCCGGGTTGGAAGCAGGGATCAAGCATGTCTTGTGCAGAATTTTTCCGTGCGAATCTGTTTACCAAACTTGTGGAACCGCGATTTGCTGAAAGTTATTCACGAATTAAAAGGCCGTTTGCGAGAGACCCGAACTGCCCCCATGATGGCCTGGTACAGTTTTTTTCGACCCTGTTTTTTTGACGCCATCTGAAAGAGCATGGTCGAATTAGTAGAACCGCACTATTTTAAGAATTTTAAAAAGTCATTTTCGGGGTTTAAATGGCCGCTGAAGTTGCGTACCTCAAAAATTTATCTCGAAAACCACACGGCCGATCTTGCTGAAAATTTTTGTCAATGCCTAATTTGGGATGGGGATCATTTCTCTAATACGTTGGGAAGCACGAAAATGGCAGGAACATAGGTATATTGCGTACCATAAACAGTTTTTGAGGGTTTTCTACTACAAGGCGGGTCCGGCGCATCTTGAAAATAGCATAGAAAGATGCACCGGAAAATTCTGCGTCGAATGATGTGCTTTCCAAGATGCGCCCAACTCGCCTCTAGCCGCTGTACCGATGTTTCGACGTCGAAAAACATCAAAATTGGCCCTTTTGGGGGGATTTCTGGGCTGGGCTATGCGAGATAGTGCGAGAGGGGGAGAGGGCAGAGACGGCTAGGGTGGTCAAGTTGGGGGCTCTCAGGCAGCACCCGACTCGCTCCCCCCAGGGCTGTTGTCTGCCTGTCTCGACTCTCTACGCCTTCGGCACTCTCTCGTTGCCCTGCCCCTGGGAATCCTCCCAAAAAACGTCAATTTTGATGGTTTTCGACGTCGAAACCTCGGTACAGCGGCTAGAGGCGAGTTGGGCGCATCTTGGAAAGCACATCATTCGACGCAGAATTTTCCGGTGCATCTTTCTATGCTATTTTCAAGATGCGCCGGACCCGCCTTGTAGTAGAAAACCCTCAAAAACTGTTTATGGTACGCAATATACCTATGTTCCTGCCATTTTCGTGCTTCCCAACGTATTAGAGAAATGATCCCCATCCCAAATTAGGCATTGACAAAAATTTTCAGCAAGATCGGCCGTGTGGTTTTCGAGATAAATTTTTGAGGTACGCAACTTCAGCGGCCATTTAAACCCCGAAAATGACTTTTTAAAATTATTAAAATAGTGCGGTTCTACTAATTCGACCATGCTCTTTCAGATGGCGTCAAAAAAACAGGGTCGAAAAAAACTGTACCAGGCCATCATGGGGGCAGTTCGGGTCTCTCGCAAACGGCCTTTTAAGTTGGGGGGAACCATAGAAAGTGGCCGATTTTGGACGTTTCTTGGACTTGGCACGTTAAAATTGTAATTCAGAAAATTTGGTAAAGATATTCTAAATCAACGCAAAATTCTGAACAGGAAGCTTTGTCCCAAATTGAAGCCAAAAAGTGCAGGGAATATTTTTATTGAAACCGCTGCACTCAATCGAATAACTTCAATAATGTAAGAATGCTAACAATGCGCGTTTTGCGATGTATTAGAGAAAAAATCAGCGTCTAAAATTAGGCATGCACACCAATTTTTAGCAAATTCCCTCAAGTCACTTTCGAGATAATTTTTTGACATCGGCAACTTTAACGGCCGATTTAACCCCGAAATTAAACTGTTAAAATTCTCAAAATAGTGCCACCCCACTAATTCGACCATGCTCTTTCAGATGGCGTTAAAAAAAAGTTTCTAAATACGATCCAGTCGCAAGCTCTACGTCTCTCTCTATCCTCAATTTAGCAACACTCTAGCTAATTTAGCTTCTAGAATCAAACAAAATTATAGACAAAAATTGCAGGTAGCAGCTCGATGTTTGATCTCTCATCTGCGACGATATCGACAGGAGACAATGTGACTTCGGAAGCTCTAGTCACAACAACATCTCCGTCAACCCTCGTGGTCGACATTGAGTTGGAAAAAATTGGGGCCTCATGTCTGAGCTCTCGAGATTATGAACATCTAGCTGGGAACATTGTTAGGCACAGCGTGGCTCGTATGTTTAGTATGCCATTGGTGAGTGGTGCTGTGGCCAGCATAGGTCTCACCGAGTTGCGAAAAACACTTCATTTTCCGGCATTACCCCAGTGGGAACACTATAATGCAACGCTCTGCAACGAAGAAGAACTGGCCGCGGCGACCACCGTCGAAGAATATTATCATTTAAGAGAGCCACGTTCCATAATAGGAAGTCTCGACAGTCTATATTTATTGGAAAAGAATGTTCCACCGGCCATCGACTATTTGGACAAGCGCTTTCCTGCCATTCGCATCATGTTTCGGAATCAATTCGAAAAGATTGGCTCCTCTACGCTCCCATTAAATAGAATAACAATAGATCGTGAAATAGAAGAATTTCTCGCTGTTCGTGCCAAAATAAACAATGCAACCAGCCACATGTTGAACCACAATTATTCATGCTGGGATGATGGTGATTGGTTTGATATCCACAAATAACGGTCTTTCATGATGCTTTAAAGGAATAGGAAAGGCCCAGGATATCAGGGCTCAGGGCAGAGAGTGGGGCGAGATGGGAGGGAGCAAAGAAGCTCTATGCTAACTTTTAGAATTGGCACCCTTTTGTATGCTAATCCACCTGGGCTTTCTGATTCCTTTAAAATTGGCGAAATAGCAACGAACTGTGTTCCGACCGAGCCAAGACGCCCTATCAATCTATTAACAAATGGTTCTATTCTTTTTTGTTTGTAATTATCTCGACCTACAATTTTGGTGTTTCTCTAATAAATGCTCCGAACTATTACGTGGCAGGCGCGGCATGATCCATAATGAATAAAGGGTTCTTTAGGATTTCCGGGGGGGAGGGTTCAAGTACGATTTTTGATCGTATGCGAGATCCACAGTCAGAAAATTTAACGGTATTTTGTTTTTCAGACTTCCTCCTCTTGCTCCGGTTAAATCTTTGTCAGATTGCCGAGAAAAAAAAAGATTTTCAGATTGCTTTTCAATTAAAAAACAGACCACAACCTCAAAAAAAACCCTTTTTAACGAGGTTGGCCTGCGAATTTTTCAGAATAAAATTGTTATAGCACCAAAAATACAGAAATTAATAAGATGGATAGCAGATCGCGAAAAGCTTGCCTACGCAAAAGATTTAAAAGGTTTTCAAAACTTAACTGGTAACTTCAAAAATGGTTTCAAAAGCAGAAATTGTCAAAAAGGCAACTGAAAATTCTCTAACAATCCCTTTAGTATCGATGAATTAATGTTATTAGCTCAATAGTCTGAAAATTTTTCCAAAATTCATCTATACTCGCAAAAACGTAAATTTTATACGCTTCACACTTCAAAAATCGCCGCAGAGTCCGAGTTTTCGAAATATGAAGTTGATTTATCGGCGTTGTAACTACGCTACGCTACTACATTACGCAGAATAATACAAAAAAAGCAATTATACAATCGTGTGAATCGTACGGTACTGTATACATTGTCTTCTTGCCCTTTCCACCGTAACCCTCCAACATTTGATGGCCAGCCATTCGAGGAGAAGGATTAGGGGCAAGAAATAGCACGCGGCACCTACCTAAATTTTCACAAAATTCAGAAAATCTTTGAAAAAAACTACCTGATACCATTGCTCAGAAAGTAGACCACCCGTCAAGAAATTTGCATAAATACGAATGTCCATTCCCTGAAATATCACAAAAAGCTATAATTTTTGTGCATGCAATCGACTCGGCCCATCGACTAGGTCTTGACGGCTACGCAACACAACAGTAAGCAGTAAATTTAATACCGATTTTTGCCCAATCGCTGCGCGGGCACGGCCATTAAATTTCTATCCTATGCGTACAGCATCGCGTCGTTGTCGAGGCCTAGTCGATGGAAGGGGTCAATCCTTGCGGTTGCGACACGTAACGCATACGCCGTTTGGTCGCCGTGAAGGACTCGTAATCAATTACGCAATGAAAGAGCGTCGCGACGGCGCCGCCAAGCTCTTACAAAATTCATAGCGTATAAAAGCAATTTTCCATGCCTTGGCCGTTCCTTTAAAAATACAGAAAACTCACGATAAATGCAGGATAAGCATGCGCCAATATCAAAATCTGCTTCCGCATTCCGATTACAGTAAGAATTAATGCGAATATTGTTATCAATAGCCATGCCAATTTCATAGCAACAAGACTCAATAGGGCACCAAATGGAAGATCGAGGGATGGGAATCCCACTTCCGCATCTGGGTTCGAGCTAAAAACACCGTAGAAAGTGCAATAATCCCTTTTAGTTCGTCTTAAAAATTCAAATTATATTTCAAGAATTTGAACCAATCTAAAAAGTTTAAATTGCCTAAAATATGGTAATTAAATCCGATACCGCTTAAAAAATTGATAAATGTAGAAAATTGAAGTGTTTTATTGTGCGAATTCTAAATTTTAAAAATGTTAATTTTAAAAATTCAAATTGTAAGATTTTTATCAATCAACAACAACTTAGATTTTAAATTTACAACATGTAAGGTTTTAAAATCATATGTTAATTAGCTAAAATTATACAAACACTTACTGATTATTGTGCTCCTTAAAATAACCCAAATCTGCAATGATTACTGTAGCGGCTGCGCCAGAAATATGGAGCGCAGAAAATCCATAAAATATGGCCTCGATTTTTGTGGTGTTTCGGATCGAATTCTTTAGTGAAAATCGTTGAAAAAACATTCGAAAAACGGAGGGGGAAACTGGGAATCTTATTGATTTTTGGCGTTATCAAAGTGCACCCAGAAATTCGGCCAAAAATCGGATTAAAGAAGAATCCGCCGTAGATATTCTCCGGAAATTCGGTGATCTATGAAATCATCGGTGATTCGATGGACCGGAAGTCAGAAAGTTCAAAAAAGGAATTTATATTCGTGTTTTAAAGGAGCTGGTAAGTCCGATAATCGACCCCGTCTCTTGACTGGGTCTAGACAAACCCCAGATTTTTTTAAAGACGCTTTATAGGTGTTTAGTCTAATTTCTGCGCTTTGAAGCAACATTTTATACAGATCCCTTTATGTACAAAAATCAACCCAATCGGTTACGCCATGGAAAGCATTGCGATGCTGTATTGCATCCGTTGTCTTCTCGATGCCCTTTCTACCGTATCCCGCCAACATTTCACCGACAGCCACTCCAATAACACGATCAGGGGCAAGAAATAGCACGCCAGGCCCACCTAAAATCATTTTTGTTTTTTTTAATTTCGGAAATCGAAAATTTGATTTTAAAGGGACTAGGAAGCGTGTGAATCGACCCCTTCGACCGACTGGGTTTCGACGGCTACGCGACGCGCTAAATCGCACGCGCTTAATTTGATTTCTAGGGCCATTTTTATGCGGCACTGCAAGAAAATCATTTATCGTCAAATCTTGGATGTGTAAATTGGCGTGTCGGGTAGCTGTCTTGACCTAGCCGAGCCCGCGGTCGATTTCCGGCTTGCTTGTTCCTTTAAAAGATACCTGATACCAGGCTTCGGATAGCAACCCATCGGTTAAATCATTTGCATAGATTCGGATGTCTATTCCCTAAAAACATTGCCAAATCGCCAAAAAATAACAAAAGGTCGATTAAGGCAAGCTAGCAGGGATTTTTGCGGAATTCTAAAGTCCAGAAAAATCGGTTTAGCGTCTGTGCGAGCTAGCAAAGATACTTGAAGAACGCGAATTTCCCAATTTCGTAAAGTTTCTTGTAAAGTTATTACTCTGAATTTAAATTGATTTTAAATTTAATTCAAAAATTTCTTTTCGAAATTTTCAAACAAAAAAAATAATTTTCAACCAGGGTTGAAAAGCCGCTTCGCGACTTTTCAACCCTGGCCTCTCTCTGCGGGGCTCTTTGATACTCGGGCACCTTGCATATAATAATTTGCATTAGTATTACGAGTTACGTTAGCGATAGGTACACCACAGGGATTACTTGAGCAACCGACGCGGAACCCCGGAAAGCCCAGAATGAGCCGAATTAATCATCGTATGCAAATTGGTCTATTTCCATAGGTTTTAAAAACGTTAAAATAAGGTATTAAACGGCATTTTTATAAAAATCTGATAAGCGTGCAGTAATCTACGCCCTCGATTACCCCTTACTACCTTACTTTCGGACCATAAAATCCTTTCCCCTTCGAGTTATGACTGGAACCCGGGTTTTTATGCAAAGTGTCCACACACACACAGAAACTATTTTTTTATATATAGTAGGATTTATTTTCTGCGTATTAAATTAAATTAATTGACTTACGATAAATGCAGGATAAGCATGGGCCAGCAGCAATATCCTCTTCCGCATCCCGATTACCGTAATGACAAAAGAGACGATCGTCAGAATAAGCCATGCAACATTCAGAAGAATTAGGGCCAATAGGGCGCCGAGGGGGAGATGTTCTTCTGAAGTTGGGTCTTCAGAACTGGAAAAAGGGTTTTAAAATGCGTAAAGTTATTCGTACTTTAGCCACGATCATTACTTCATGAAAAAAATGACAAAAATCCAAATCCTCGGCCAACTAGCGAGGAATTTAGAATGTGGTAATCGCTTTTTCTGGACGCTTTTTCCCGACTAGACCTTTATTTGCCTGTCAGCTAAAAATTGGCTAGTTAGCAGTGATTCTTTGAGAAGCCAATATCGGGGGTTTTCTAATGATTTTCTGCAAAGCTCCCTTGTAATTGACACACAGTGAAAAAGCTAAAGCTGCTGGCATGCTAGCAGGGTTCATTAGGATGTCGTAATCCATTTTTTGTCGTTTTTGTTTGAGCCACCCATTTAATTGGCAGTCACGGAAAAGAGGCAAGCTAAAAACGATTATTTTGAGGGCGAAAATAAATTTTTTCAGCATTTTTCTCACATTTTTCCATTGGCTGGCAGTCAGTTCAAAAAAGGGCCAGCTAGAAAAAACCCTTTCAGAAGAATAACTCTATTTATTCGGTATTTTTTGTCCTTTTCTGGTATATTGGCACCAAGCCAAAAAAACCTAACTCGCTATACACACGATAATATGCCACATTCGTATAAATAACAGCCACGGCTGTCCCGCCAATATGGAGCAGAGAAAATCCATAGAATAACGATTCGATTTTCGACGAATTTTTCAGCGAATTTCTTATGGAAGATAGTCGAAGGACCATCGGGAAATTTGCAAAAAAATCTTAATTTTCCCGTTATCGAATCGTGTACCCCCGCATCCAAAATCGGCTTAAAATCGACCAGTCATGGCAAGACTACAAACAAAATTCAAAAAATCTGATTTTGCATAGAAGCGGCAAAAATCTCAAGCCGGAAATGTCGGTTTGCAAAGAACTGTTAGGAACTGGCAATCGATTTTCAAGCCTTTTTTTCGGCAGTTTAAATTTAATTGGCAGCCAGCTAAAAACACGGGGCCTCGAAAAATGTTCTGGGCAGGCTAGCAAAGAGTCTTTGGAGAGTGCGGATTAGCTTTAAAGGTACACTAAAGTCTCGTTGGTTTGGTTACCGGCCGGTAACCGTCCGCGGGATAGCAAACAGGGTTACGGTAGGCACTCGCCGCGGAGCAAAACCGAACCCGCGCCACTCGCCTGGGGCAAGCGCTTTGGACCACTAGGCCATGGGACAGACGGGAGAGGGGACAGGGGAGAGAGGCTATGAAGGGTTGGGGCGAGCGGCGGCAGAGAGCCCAAATTCCCGGCCCCTGCGAAAATTTTTGAACGAGATTTTAGTGTACCTTTAAAGCATTTCAGCTTGATCTAAACTTTAAATGGCAAGTTTCCCAAAAGTGGCAAACTAGCAGAGACACTTTGAGAAGCCGCAATCGATTTTGTGGATTTTCTAAATAACTATACCTCTATCTGGCAGCCAACCAAAAACAGAAAACCGAAAAACAGGTGCTGGCAGGCTAGCAAATATTCTTTGGGAAGCGGCAATCCATTTTCAAGGAGGTTGGCTTGAATTTGCCAGTTTCCGAAAAGTGGAAAGCTAGCAGAGACACTTTGAGAAGCCGCAAACCATTTTGTGGTATTTTTTTTTTTCAGTTATTTTCCGGCTGACTGGCAGCCAACCAAAAAAACCGTACTCCTTGTAGATGATGTAGAAGCCCAGATTCGCAAAAGTAACAGTAAATCCACCAATATGAAGCCCCGCGAATCCATAATATATCGCCTCGATTTTCGACGTATTCCGGAGCCAATGCTTTAGCGAGAATTTTTGGCACAACATCTATGCGGGGGGAACGGACCGCCGAAATGACATATTGATTTATCGTGACGACCCTTATCTTTATGTCATTGCGCCTTCACAATATTAAAATCCTCTTAAAACAGGGAGGTGATGATTTGATGGTGTGGGGGCTGAGCTGATCACCGGAAATGAGAAACAAAAACTTGTTCCAATAAATTTGTCGTTCCCTGCGGCGATTTTTTGGAAAATTCGGGTTTTAGTTTCTCATCTAGAGGTGGCGCTCAAGCTGTGAAGCTATGTGTGTAAAAAAATGGCTTTTAAAAAAGGATTTATGATGACAAATCTATTAAAACCTGCCAAAAGCCGGTGGAATTTGACCAAAAAAACATTTCTTGGCGCCGGTCTGGTCTTTGAAGGACTTCGGTTTCTCGATTTTTTACATAAACAGCGGATGTTTTGATTATTTTAACGTTTACTGAACATAAAAACTTAACAAAACTTTCAAAATTTCCTGAAAGAGTTAATTTGAAGTCGATAATTGATTTTTTGACATTTTTGAACTGACAAAAATTTCGAAATTTTCAAGCCTTTCCTAACTTTTTAGAAAGGTTTGCTGCTTTCGATAGAGCTAAATTTTACTACAAACCTAGATGGGTGTTCTGTCATCTCGTTGGCGAACTCACGTTTGCACTTTTAGCAGGTAGGCCGGATTTCGGGTTTTTAGGTTAGCGACATCGCAGGCTAAATTACGCCATTTCCGCTCCCACTTGGTTAACCGGCCAGCGGCAAAAGCAGCCCGTTTTCTTTTTTTAATTGTCAATTTTCCTCATTTTTCCTCCTCGCGTCTTTGTCTTTTCCCTGATTACATTTATACTTTTTAGATGCCAACACAAGACGAGAAAAAGTTGCCGCGCGCCCTCTTTGTCGCCAAAAATAACGTTATGGCCAAGCGGATATCGGCTCTTCTTTCCAAAGGTTGGTTTTTTATTGTTAAGACATAGTTTTCAAACTATTCTTCCCTTTTTTCTAGACAAAGCTGTATGGCGCGATGGTCCGTCACCATTCAACAAGATATACTCGTTCAGTATGCATTTTCAAGGAAGGGAAACGCTGGTAGGTCTACGTTTTTTATTTCATGATTGTTTTTCAGATTTCCGTCACCTCGGTGAGCGGCCATCTGATGTGCCCCACGTTTGGCTACAAGCTGAAGGAATGGCATGAGAGCACGGTATACAGATTTTGGTGATGAGCCCCTTTTTCAGACCGAAAAGCTATTCAACGCACCGCTGCTATATTGGAGAAAAGAGAAAGTGGCCCAGAACCTCAAGTAGACTTTATCCGAAATACTTATTTGCTAGGAATTTAGAGATGAAGCTGCGAATTCCAATGTGCTGGTGATTTTGACGGAGTGCGATCGTGAGGGCGAGAATATTGGGGCTCAGATCAAGATCGTGTGCCAGGAGGCAAACCCCAATATCCATGTTTTCCGGGCCAAGTTAGTCTTTTGTTTGAAAAAAATCGGCTTTTTTTAGATTTTCCGCGGTCACAACCGAGTCACTGGAAAGGGCGCTGGAAAACCTTCATTCCCTAGACGAAAATATAGTCGACGCCGTCAATTGTCGGATGGAATTCGATTTGCGGATCGGTAGCTAGTTTCTTCTTAGAATGCTGCTTTTTTAGGCAGTGCATTCTCGCGCCTTCAAACGCTCTACTATCGAAGATATTTCCCGGCGCAGTTTCCCCCTGATGATCCTAAAGTATGGCGAAACTCTAAATTTTTTCATCCTGGATTTTGAGGTAATCTCCTACGGCAGCTGTCAATTCCCGACGCTTGGCTTTGTTGTGGAGAGGGAGAAGGCCATTCAACAGTTCATTGCCAGGTCATTTTGGATGCCCCAGCTTGACCACGTCAAGGATGGCGTTAAAGTATGTCCATTGACACTTTTATCCGCGTTTTAGACGGAATTCACCTGGAATGGCAAGCCTCAATTCAACGCCGTCAAGGCCCGGGTTTGCAGCGCCATTTTTACCTTTTACCGACAGTTTTAGCGCTTCTACACGAATGCCCGGACGGCTGCCCGGGCGATCGTCGAAATGGTCTACACTTACCCGACGACCAAACCGCGGCCGTCGGCCCTAAATAAGGTATTTCACGGTAATTCTGGGTTCTTTCGCATTATCGGGGGGACAAACTTTTTCTATAAATCGTAGACGTGTTTCTAAACTGTTTTTAACTATTCCTAAACATCAAAAGTGCACAAACTTCTATTAAAATTAAAAAAAATTGCATTTTTTCGGCCGAAAATGGCAGTTTTTCCACTAAAATTTAAATTTTTAAGTTATTGATCGTTTTCCTGGTTGAAATAGAGTTATATTTGACGGAAACACTAATAGAATATTTCATATTCAGTTGCTGGTCATTTATAGCCTTATATAAAGAAGTTCAGTCCCCCCACCCGATAATGCGAAACAACCGTAATCTGATAGCCCCCTTTTCAGGCAGACCTTCAAAAATTGGCCATAAAGCAACTCGGGATGACTGCGCATGAAGTTACGGCCGTCGCCGAGCAGCTATATCTTCGCGGCCTCATCTCCAATCCAAAGTAAAGGCAGTTGAAAATTGAAAGCTTGCATTTCAGGACGAATACGAACATTTTCCACAAGGGAATGGAACTCAATAGCGTCTTGGCATTGTTGGTACGTTTTTTACACAAATCTGAGTGAAAATATCTTTTTTAGGTTAGCGACACCTCTTGGGGAGCGTTTGCACAGAAAATCGTCGACGATGGCGGTGCAATGCCGAGAAAGGAGTCACAAAATGACGGCGTTCATCCCCCGATTCACCCGCTCAGATTGGCCACCAGGTTTTTCCTCAGAACATTTCATAACCTCGGTCTACAGGGACGAATTCTCTTGCGAGGTTGAGTGGCGCGTCTACGAGCTCGTCGCCCGTCATTTTCTCGCATGTTGCAGCAAAGATGCGAAAGGCCAAGAAACCAGGGTTACGGTTGGTTAGATCAGCCGGATATTGTAAAATTCATGGTACTGGACTGTTAGCAGGGGGAACTGGACGGCCCTATAACGAAATATAAACCATTTTATAGCGTTTTACATGGTTTTTAGGTATGAAAAGCTCATCAAGCTTATAAAAATGCTTGAAAATTTTGACTTTGTGAATGTTGAAATCAAGAATGTTGAAAAATGACCAAAAACGACCAAATGTTCGAATTTACAAAGCGTTTACGATATTTTTTTGAACCTTTTACTACTCTTTACTCTTTAGCAGACAAAAAAAGACGAAAAACATGATAAAAATACACGGTTTATTATCAACAGATAGGCATGAAAGGGAAAACAAAAGTAGTTCCCCCCGCTAAAAGTCCAGTACCAAATTCGTTTCTTTCAGATCCGACTGGGCGAGGAGAACTTCACGGCCACGGGCCTGCACGTCGACGATCGGGGCTATTTGGAGATCTATCCCTACGAGAATTGGGACGAGAAAAGCATTGGAAAGTAGGCGCTAGCATGATCTTTTTTGTAATCCACATTTTAGGTACGACCACGGCGAAACTATCACCGACTATCAAATCCAAATGATCGAGTCAAAAATGGAGCCTCCGCCCTTGTTGACTGAAGCCGATTTGGTCACGCTAATGGATGAGAATGGAATCGGAACAAGTGCCACTCATTCTCAGCACATTCAGACGATCAAAGTATTTTTCAAGCTAAAAACAAGCATTTTCTCTTTAGAATCGCGAATACGTGATGCTCGACGGCAATCAGAATTTGTGCAGCACTGTGTTGGGCCGATCGCTCGTTGAGGCTTATGAAAATATGGGTAAAACAAACACTAAAAAGAATAGAATTTAATAAAATTAAATTCAGGTCTTCCGATGGCAAGCCCTGGATTGCACGCCGATTTCGAGAGGCAGCTGGTGAAGATTTGCGAGGGAAAGAGGACCAAGGAGCAGGTTTCGAGAGGTTTTAGAAAAAATCTTGAATTTTTAGGTGCTGAGCGAATATCTGGCGATGTATCGGCGGATGTTCCGCGTGGCTGAGGAGCAGATCCACGAATTTGGTGCCGCATTTTATAGGTATTTTTTGGCAAAAATCAGGGGCTTAAAGTGCAGTTTACCCCCCCCCCAGCCCTAACTTTTCAGCCATACGTCCTATTAATGCGCCGAGTATCTCAAAATGTTCGCCGTAGTCGAAATACTATAAAAAAGTTGTTTTCTTACATCAAAAATTGTTAGAAAAAATTTTATAACAATTATAAGTCTGGGTTTTCTTTAGTTGATTTTTGCTGTTCCAAAGTGAGTTTTCGTATCTCGGCTATCTTTTGTCGTACAGAGCTGTCAATAGTACCAAAATGTAGCTCTTGCTCTGGAGAATAAGCCTACAGTACGTTTGAGCCGAAAAAAATAGCGGAAAATAAAAATATTTGAGTTTTAGACTCCTAGTACATCGAAGCATAGCGGCTTAATCTTTTCAACTTTCAAAATCTTGTAAAAAAATTTTTAGCAATTTTTGCCCCGCAAGAAAACAACTTTTTTATAGTAATTCGACCACGGCGAACATTTTGAGATACTCGGCGCATTAATAGGACGTATGACTGAAAAGTTAGGGCTGGGGGGGGGGGGTAAACTGCACTCTAACCAAATCAGGCTGTGATTTTTTTAGGAATACTACATTGGACCAGATCAAAATGGAGATTCCCGAAATCATCGACGACAAATCCTTGGAGAATGATGAGAATCGAAACTGGGTAAGGGCTGACTTTTAAAACTAAAGAAAGGCTTTTCCAGATTCAATTTTCCTCCCTCGACAGCAATGACACAAAACCGCCATTCCCCAATTCGAGCAGCCAACAGGTATTTGGAGTTTTGTTTTATCCAAATCGATTTTTTCAGGATACCGACCTCGATCTGAACTGGCAATGAAAAACGGCAAATTCCCCACTTTCTTTTTCTCCTCACTTCTATGTACATACGTTCAATTTCTCATTTTTGCGCATTCCCCACTTTCTGAATACTATTTCCCATGTTTCATGCTACTTTTTGAATTGTAAAATCGTAATAAACAGTTGAATTTACACTGTCTTCGAAAGAATTGCAGTGCATTGGACAGAGGACTATCTTTTTCCAACAATACAACCAGAAACATCGATATGAAAATTAGGTTCTTTCGCATTATCGCATTAAATTTCTGCGTATAAGTCTAGAAATGTCTAGCAAACTCGCACCTAGTCCTTTCAGATTTCACCTCTAAACATGCGCCGTGTTTTGTTTGTGGCCGAGTCGTTTGGCGTCGCGAAGACGTTGGGCAAAATGCTTTCCAAAGGTCAGCCGAGGCTAGCCGGAGTTACATTCACGTTTTATTCAGGCCATTTAAGACATTCCGTGACCCCACCATACAGCCAGTTCTCTATGAATTTCCAGGGCAAACCGACGCAGGTACAGACCAAGTTTCACGCACTTTTCGGGTAGAAGACGCTGCGACGCGACTTCTTCAATGATTTTCTTTTGGCTTTTCAGGTGTCGCTCACTTACATCGGCGGACATCTGATGAAATGGGATTTCTCTCGCGAGTTGAACAACTACTGGCGCATGGACAAGGTACTAAGAAAGCGGTATATGTCGGCTACGCGGGGGGGACGGGACAGGCAGGCCTTTTTGGATGTTCTCGTTATTTTCTCGGAATTTTTTCAACCGCATTCGATAGAGCACCGAAAAATATACTAAGAGTTTTTGTTTTAGCTCAAATTAGTGTAATATAAGATAGTTATAACAAAAACAAGTATTAAACGTTGTTTCCATGGAGGACATAGAAGGAAATCAAGTTTTCGACATTTTCGACATTTCTACAAAATTTCTTTAGTGCCATTCGACAGAGCATCGAAAAATATACTAAGAGTTTTGTTTGTAGCAAAAAGAAACGCAAAAAAATAGTTAGCTCGGCCCCAACAGTCCGTCCCCCCCCGCGTAAAATTTCCCCCCGCGTAGCCGACATATACCTAAGAAAGCATTGCCAAAAAATGGTTTCTTTAGCTGAAGCGGCTATTCGACGCACCGTTACGATGTGTCTTACATCCTGCAAAGCAGAAGATGATTGATGGCTTGAAGTGCGAAAACACACTTTGCCTTCTTCAAATCATTTGACTTTAGGGAACACGCGAAAAACGCGTCGACGCTGGTGATTTGGACGGATTGCGATCGTGAAGGCGAGCGTATTGGGGATGAGATCAAGATCATCTGCCGCCAGGGCAACCCAAATATCGAGGTCTATAGAGCTAGGTTAGTTTTTCAAATAGGGATCGTCCTTCCGCGGGTTCTTACGCATTATCGAGGGGGTCCAATGTTTTTCCTTGGATCTAGTTTTGCAAATATAAATCGTGGAAGTGTTTCTAAGCAGTTTTTCTACTCTTCCTAAACGTGAAAACCTTATATAATCCTACTATATATAAAAAAAATAGTGTTTGTGTGTGTGTGTGTCTGTGCCACTTTGCATGCAACTTCCGTCATTCTGTCCGGAGGATATCTCAAGAGGGAAGGGTATTAGGCTACGTACGATACGTCATTAGGTGCATAATGGCCCTGAGATGACTGCACGCAGATCAGATTTATCAAAATTGTCTATTTTCGACATTAAACTTTAAGTTTTTGTTGGAAAATCGTCGATCCTCTTTGTTAGGAAAAAATTAGCATGCGCCGGAAGTTCCGGAAGCCTATATAATTGGCTAGCGAGCGCAGTTTTCATTTTTTGTCATCGGAAATTAAAGAATTATGCAAAGTGAAGTATATCATGCGATCAGACGGGGCCAGGGTTGAAAAGTCGCGAAGCGGCTTTTCAACCCTGGTTGTTATTAAAAATCTGAAAAATATAGATTTTAGAAGAATTTTAAATTTGGACAACATTTTTTGAAACAAGATACCTTTTAGATAGTTTTCTTATTTTTTGCGAAAAAGCCGTTAAAACACTTGCTATCAAATTACTAGAAAATACTAGACTTATACAAAAAAGTTTGGTTCCCCTCGCCTCCTCCCCCCGATAATACGGAAGAACCCTTCCACGATCTGAAATCTCTTTGATTTTGACTGATAATGATTTTTCAGATTTTCCGAAATAACAGAAAGCAGCATCCAGTCAGCTCTGGACAATCCAGGTCAACTCGACAATAATATAGTCGAAGCCGTCAATTGCCGTGCCCAACTCGATTTACGAGTCGGTCAGTCATCGATTCCAAGGGCTAAAATAGTTTGTTTAGGCAGCGCATTCACTTGTCTTCAAACTTTATTCTTTCGCCAAAATTATCCCGACACTTTTCCTCGAGACACCCCGACCCAGGTGCCAGACCCCTATTTTAATAGAACCAAAAGTTTTAGCTAGTCTCATACGGCCCGTGTCAATTCCCGACGCTTGGCTTTGTTGTGGAGAGGGAGAAGGCCATTCAACAGTTCGTTGCCAAGCCATTTTGGAAGCTCCAGATTGACCATGTCAAGGATGGTGTTAAGGTATCGAATCAGAATTTTCTTTTTTAAGAATTTTCTTTCTTATTAGACGACATTTGCCCGCGACGGAGGAGACGAATTCGATCCGGAGAAAGCCCGGGTTTGTTGTTTTATTTTTTCGTTTTACCCGCTGAAAAGCTCATTTCGGCAAGAGTTGACATGAAACCGCAGGATGTGAGGTTTTTAGAAGAGGTACGAAAAGCTACACGGGGATTGCCAGGCCACCGTCGAAGTCTGCACATTCCCTGTCGAAAAACCACGACCGCTCGCCCTCTCGACGGTAGATATGAATACGATTGTTGACCGATATTGTTTAGGTGGAATTCCTGAAGCTAACCATCAACAATCTTCAAATGAGCGCCAGCGAAGCCATGGAGTCGGCACAGCGGCTGTATGCCGCAGGCTTCATCTCGTACCCTAGGTCGGCCGATGATTTGTTTCTCTAAAATTCCTGGGTTTGATAAATAGCGGATGTGGTTGTACATTGTTTTAGCCATTCCTGAGCATAAAAAGTTACTAGTTTAATTGAAAATTTCTTTTTGACCGAAAAACTGATTTTCTTTTAGGACCTCAATTGACCCTTTGGACTTTTTCAAACATTTTTTAAAGCATTTCCTATTTTAAGGTAGTTAATACGTGTTATCCTACTATATATAAACACTTTAAATACGAACTTGACCAATCTGAACCTTAGAACCGACACTTTCGCATTTAAACAATGAGTTTAGGACTGAAACGGACGGTTTCCCCGATCGCGTTGCAACAAGCCTCAGCCTCAACTACTACACGTATTCCCTTGTACGTCAATTCTATTTTCACGAATCGCCCGGTTTTCAGAGCGAGCTTGACGCCGCGTGGGGCGAGTTTGCCGCAAAGATGCTGGAGAACGGAGGAGCGGATCCCAGAAACGGCGACAAGACCGACAACGCGCATTGGCCGATTCATCCGCTCAGATCCGCTACCAGGCATGTTTTTCTACACCTAGCCGAGATCTCAAATTTTAGGGAAGATATCCCGGACGACAACGATTGGCGCGTCTACGAGGTGATCGTCCGTCAGTTTCTCGCTTGTAACAGTCGGGATGCCGTCGGTCTGGTGACGCAGGCTACGGTACGTTGATATAGACATTCGGGTTCTGCACTGTTAGCGGGGGAACCTAATTTTTCGCTGTGATTCTCTACGGCCCTGTCACAAAATATAAACCATTTTTATAGCATATTACATAGTTTTTTGGATATAAAAATCATGACATTTTTCGAACATTTTTGATTTTTGGGCAAAATCGTATGAAAATGACCAAAAAGGGTCAAAATTTTCGAATTTTCAAAATTAAAAAGGAGTTTTGATAACTTTCCAGCATGAAAAGCTACTAAAAACACTATCAAATACATAATATATCATCAACAGGTAGGTAACAAAAAGTGGTCCCCCGCTAACAGTCCAGAACCGACATTTGAATGGAATTCTTTTCAGATCCGACTGGGCGACGAGAGTTTCACGGCTACCGGCGTCCAGGTCGAAGATCCCGGTTTTCTAGCAGTCTATCCGTACGAAACGTGGAGCGAGAAAAGTGCCGGAAAGTGAGCTTGAATCCATAGAATTTTTATCCCGGCGTCTTTAAGGTACGACGGCGGCGAGACGTTGAATGGGCCCCAAGTGCAATTAATTGATTGCTTGACGGAACCTCCGCCCTTGTTGACAGAAGCCGATGTAATCACCTGGATGTATGACTATGGAATCGGCACCGATGCTAACTACAACACGCACATTGATAAGCTAAAGGTGATTGGCAGATTCGCTAACTAGCTTCGAATTCTAGAAGCGTGGCTATGTGCACAGCTACGAGAACGGGCAGCTGCGAGCCAGCATCCTCGGCCAGTCCCTCATCGATGCCTATACCGCCATGGGTAGTTTTCGTGGCTCTGGACTGTTAGCGGGGGAACCAAAATTTTCCCTGTGATTCTCTACGGCCTTACAATAAATTATAGACAATTTTTATACCATTTAGCATAGTTTGTGATATAAACACTTGATGAAAAATAACAAATTTTCGAAAAATGTATGAAAAATGGCCAAAAAGACAAAATTTTTCGATTTTTCAGAATTTTTAATTTTTATAGCTTTCTAGCATTAAAAAGAACTACCAAAACCACGATAAAACACATAAGATATCATCAACAGGTTACCCCTGCTAAAAATGCTCCTCGCTAACAGTCCAGAACCCGCTTTCAAGGTGCTTTCCGTTTAGCGGGGGTGGGCGAGGTCAATGCTGATCGTTTCGCTTATAGGTGCGTGGTAATAGAATTCTCTTTCTATCATGTTGTCTTTCGCAGTTTTTGATTGATCTCATTGTAGGGCCGTCCGAGATTGCTTGGGAAAAGTTGGTCCCCCTCCCCGCTAAAGCGGAAGTACCGATTTCGTCTTATAAAAAACATTTTGAAAACTAGAAAACCTCCTTGCCCATCCGCAGTTGCGCGCCGAGCTGGAGAAGGACCTGCAAGAAATTAGCAAAGGAACGAAGAGCAAGGACCAGGTTCGGTTGCCAATCCGGTCACAATACTTTTCCAGGTGCTGAGAAAACATTTGCCGGTATATCGGCGTCTGTTCCGCCAGACCGAGGCCAAGCTCGGCTGCTTTAAAGTTGAGTTTGACAGGTTTGTCAAAAATTTCCGTCAAAATACCTAAGCCTTTTCAGACACTACAAGGGCGCCCTGGACCGAGGAGATTTCTACAAACAGCCGGCCGTCATGCAGCCACAGCTCTCGCTTCGCCAAGCTCACTAAATGACCACTCTAATAATGTTATGAATCTCGTTCGCCCGATTCTCTGCCCCCCATTTTCTCTTTTCAAATGCATGATATCCCCCCAAATTTATTGTTATTGATTTCGATGTTTATCCTTCAACAGCATTGCTTTCAAAAGCGCCTTTCACTTTGTTACTTTGTTCAAAGATTTCGCCTCGACTTCGTTGACTTAATAAATGGTTGTTGATATTTTGAAAACGGTGTGAATTTTTCGACGGCCTTTTATCAAAGCCATAATTTATTTAGTAACCTTTTGTTTGAGAATTGGCACGAATTCTTGAAATTAATGGTACAAAGCGCTACTGGCAACAAGTTGACCCTGAGCGGAATTTGCAAACAGCACGCACAGCCGTATTACATGGGGTAATCGGCGTTTTCAAAGCGAAATTTAAGTTTTTTATATCTTTTCAAGCAGAGCTGGGTTCTAGAAATGAAAAAGAATGCTTCATAGATGATCTAAGATACTTATTTCGATATTTTAGATTATTATCGATATTTCTATTTTCTATAAACTTCGCGAGATCGCTTTGTTTCGACGTCTCAACGAGATCACCGCTTTTCAGACCAAACTCTGGCCGGAATACGCCTGCTCATCTTCCGCCGCTTCATGCACCGCGCCTTGTTCGTGGCCGAGAAGAACGATGTAGCCAAGGGGATCGCCGCCCTTCTTTCGAAAGGTCAGAAATTTGAGAAATTACGCGAGAAATTGTTTTTCTAGCGTAATTTTATCTGTATTTTCAGGAAACTCCCAACGACGCGATGGCCCGTCAAAATACAACAAGATCTACTCGTTCACCATGGATTTCCAGGGTCAGCAGACAATTGTGGGTAGTTTGAAAGGTTTTTGGGTCTAATTGGTTTTGAAAATAAGTTTTAAAAAGGGATTTTGGCCGTTCTAAATCTTCCAAATTTCAGATTGCCGTCACGTCAGTCAGCGGCCATCTGATGAGCCTGGATTTTGGGCCCGAGATGAAGGATTGGCACGGGACGACGGTAAATAAAAAGTTTTACATGCTTATAACTTTCTGGTTTCAGATGGAACGGCTTTTTGACGCGCCGGTGATTCGTTTCGTCTCCAAGGACATGCAGCCCGTCGCCCAGAATATAGCGTAAGGGATAGCTTACCGTAAAAATTAGATTTTTATAGAAACGAGGCCCGAAACGCGTCGACGCTGGTGATCTGGACAGATTGTGATCGTGAAGGGGAGAATATTGGCGACGAGGTGAAGACCGTGTGCCTCAAATCGAACCCCAGGATGAATGTTTATAGGGCAAAGTTGGTTTTATTGCTACTAACACGGACCCGCCGAATTCTGCGACCTTTTATGGCAGACCAAAAGCTTTAAAAAAAGACGCTTTTCTATCTAAAATATTATTTTTCGATTCTTTTTTCCTCTAAAAATGAGTTTTTGGGGGAGGGGGTTTCGCTCGAAAATTGTATTTATCGAAATTTTTTAGAACACCGTCGTTAACCCACGTTTCTCTACTGAACTTCTCGTTTTTAGCTGTTTCGGAAAACTCAGAAAATACAGTATTTTCCGCTAAGGTTGTATTTCTCGAATTTTCGCCTCTGAAATTGTCTTTATCGATCTTTTTTTCCGGTGAGATTCGATTTCTATCGAGTTACCCCTAAAATGGTATTTCTCGATTTTTTACCTCTGTAATAATAGTCATCGCTTTTTAAACCCACTTTTCAGATTTTCTGAAGTCACCTTCGCGTCTATCAACCGAGCAATACGAACCCTCCAGCGACTCGACAACAACATCGTCGAGGCCGTCAATTGCCGCTCGGAGCTCGATTTGCGGATAGGTCAGTTGGTAGCTTTATTTTGATGTTGTTTTTATCATCATTTTTAGGCAGCGCTTTCACGCGCCTACAAACGCTCCACTTTCAGCGCCATTTCGCTGCGCTTTTTGGTGGTGAGAATCGACAAGTAAGAACATTTTTAGGGCGGTTTTATAGTTCTTCTAGGTAATTTCCTACGGCAGCTGCCAATTCCCGACGCTGGGTTTTGTGGTGGAGCGGTACAAGGCCATTCAAGAATTCATCACCGAGCCATTTTGGAAGTTGCAAGTCGATCATTTGAAGAATGGAGTCAAGGTGAGTTTTTCGGGGGTTCTGGGCTGCTAGCGGGGGGGTTAAATTTTAGCATATCTTGAATTTCACACCATTTATATAGCTTTTTACACCGTTTTTCTGTATAGAAACGATGTAAAACGGTAGAACGTTTGAAATTTTTTGATTTTTTGGTCAAAATGTATGAAAAATGACTAATGATGTCAAAAATTCCAAATTTTTTGTATTTCTAAAATTGTTATGGCTTTTGCCTCAAAAATTGATGAAAACTATGAAAATACACTAAAAAACGATAAGGATTTATAGTCGCCCCCCCCCGCTAACAATTATGCACCCGTTGTTTTTTTCGAGGGGATACGGCATAAAATATTTTTGTTTTAATTCGTATTGAAAAACGAAATTCCGGTCAGATAATTTTAACAAATTTTGAGCCGTGTACATAGTTTTCAAAGCATATTTTCAGACGGAATTCATCTGGGACCGGATACGCCTCTTCGACCGCGGCATCGTACAGGTTGGATTTTACCAAAAATCGCTATAAGCCACTGTTTTCAGTTGCTATGCGAAGATGTCCAGGGCGCCAACCAGGCCAAGGTCGAGAATCTGATCAAGCGGCCGAAAAACAAGTGGAGACCCGCCGGACTGGATACGGTAGTTTTAATGTGATTTTTGGAAAGCCTCGATTCAGGTGGAATTCGAGAAGCTGGCCGTCAGGAAGCTGCACATCAGCGCCAAGACGGCCATGCAGGTGGCCGAGGGTCTCTACAGCAAGGGATTTATCTCGTATCCTAGGTAAAAACATTTTCTTCCTAAATGGACACCGCTTGTTTGCCCGGATGAGAAAATTCGAGGCAAAAATCTGTTTGTATTTTTAGAGAAAAATCATGCAAAAATTGTTCGATTTGTATAAAAAAGCCTGCTAGCTTGCCCTAAATTGTGAAAAATTCGGAAATTCAGTTTTTGACCAATTTTAAAGTCTGTTCGCTTTTCCAAAACGTTCTCTGCTAGCCTGCCCGTCTAGTGTTTCGCCATCTAAACGAAAAATGAGGCAAAAGTTTGGCTGGGGAATCGCTGATTTTTTCCAAAGAATCTATGCTAGTCTGCCCGCCCAATTTTTCACCGGCGAATGTAAATTTCGGCTTTTTTCGAAAAAGTTTGAAAAACTCTGCTAGCCTGCCACGTCAAGAAAACTCTAAAATACCCCATTTTTCAGGACCGAGACGAACAAATTCCCGCAGAACATGGGGCTGACGAGCTTGGTGCAAATGCACGTGAGTCAATTTGGCAGTTTCATCGTGTAATCTATTAATTTAGGTGGATCACGCGGCTTGGGGAGCATTCGCGCAGAAGATTGTCGACGAGGGTGGCGCCAAGCCGAGGAATGGATCGAAAAGTGACGAGGCCCATCCCCCCATTCATCCACTCAAATTTGCCACGAGGTACCGTATTTCATTTTTGTCTATTTTCCTATTAAAAGTTAATTTTGGTTAGTTTCTATAGGGATGTCTTGAAAATCTAATTTTTCGCTTGTTTTTAGCATCGTAGCTTTGAAATGTAGATTTGACTATTTTCGAGAGAAAATTCTTTAAGATATAATTTTGGGTATTTTGTTTAGGAAATTCGTGCAAACCTAATTTTTATTATTTTGTCATAAAGTCCCCTTAATTTTTGTTTGTTTTTACGCGATTTCCTTAAAATATTTTTGGATTGTTTTTCTATCGCAGAATCTTTAAAATCTAATTTAGCTTATTTTTTATCGGAAATCCTAAAAACCATTTTAAGGGACCAATTCTCGAACGACAACGATTGGCGCGTCTACGAGCTGGTCACCCGTCATTTTCTCGCCTGTTGCAGCAAAGATGCCAAGGGCCAGGAGACCAAGGTTACGGTAAGTTTTTTACTTTTTTAAAGGCGCAGTGACGCTCTCAATTGGTCTAACAATTGGTTTTTTGCAGATTCGACTAGGCGGCGAAAGCTTCACAGCCACGGGCCTTATGGTGGAAGATCCGGGCTATTTGGAGGTCTATCCCTACGAGAAATGGAGCGACAAAAGTGTCGGAAGGTATTGTATTTTTTTGTTGATTTTTAGGTTTTTATTATGGTCAAAAATGGTCAGTTTTGGTCTAAAAATCTATATTTTTTTCTTTCGAATAAAAATTTGAAAGTTTTTACATTTAGGAATAGTAAAAACAGCTAGAAACAATTCCCCTATTTATATTTAAAAAATGGATCCTAAGAAAAGAATTTGTTCCCCCGATAATGCCAAAGAATCGACATTGTTTTTAGGTACGAGCTCGGGGAGACGTTCACCGACCATCAGGTGCGGATGATCGAGTCGAAAACGGAACCGCCGCCCCTGTTGACTGAAGCCGATCTGATCACGCTGATGGATAAATACGGAATTGGCACCGACGCCACGCACGCTGAACATATCGAGAAGATTAAGGTACATTAAGCGTAATTTATCTTCTATAGACATACAAACGTTCAAATTTTTGCTTAAAAAAACCAAAAATATAGATATTCTAATAAAATCGGCAATTTTTAGAAGTTGTTAAATAGTTAAATTAGCTTTGAGCCTTTTTCAGTTTTTAGATAGATTTCTGAATTCCCAAATAAGCCCTGCTGGCTTGCCGGCAGCTCAAATTCCCCAAAGAATTTTTGCTAGCTTTCTGGCTCAATTTCCTAAAAAATTGCTGCTATCTGGCCCGCAGCCGAATTTCCCTAAAATTCTGTTAGCTTGCCAATAGCTAATTTCCTCAAAAAACCCAGCTAGCTTGATAACATTTATTTTTTTTGAGCAACGGAGCTACGTGGGTCTGGACAACAACAATCACTTCGTCCCCGGATTTCTCGGCCTCTCGCTCGTTGATGGCTACGATGCTATGGGTAAATTTTAGGGAAAATCTTCAAAATTATCGTTTTTTTTTTAGGATTCGCAATGTCGAAGCCGCAGATGCGCGCGAATCTGGAGAAACAGCTCGAGAAGATTTGCGAGGGCACACGGAATAAGGACGAGGTTTTGAAATTTTAACGAGATTTGTAGATTTTTAGGTTCTTTCGCATTATCGGGGGGGGGGGAATTCTTTTAAGGATCCAGTTTTTCAAATATGAATAGAGGATGTGTTTCTACACATTTTTTTACGATTCCTAAACGTAAAAAATTTCAAAATACAAAAACGGATACTACAACAAACTAGACATTTCTTGACTGGTAGAACAAAGTTGCCACTCCCGATAATACACATGAACCGATTTTTGATTTTTACATTTTTTAGTTTCTATCATATAAAATGCGTTAAATTGTTTTTTTTTTTTAGGTGTTGAAAGAGCAGCTGGACAGATATCGACGAATTTTCCGCATTGCTGAGGACAAGATCAACAGCTTGACCGCCGCTTTTATGAGGTTTTTCAATTTAAAATTTTAATTAATAATTAATCTTAATTAATAAAATTAAAAAAAATTGTAAATTTTAACATTTATTATTTGATTTTATATTTAAAAGTTTTTCCAATTTTTCTTTTTAGATACACGGACGCGAACCAGCGACGACCGCCGCAAAATGGTGCGGTTGGCGGAATGGGACCGCCAAGACCACCGCCGGGAGGAGGAGGAGGAGGAGCTGGAGTTGCGGCTAGAGGAGGAGCAGCAGCAGCTGGAGCGACAAGAGGAGGAGCAGCCGCGACGAGAGGAACAAGAGGAGCGTCTACCGCAGGAGCCACGAGAGGAAGAGGGACCGGTCGAAAACGGCCGGCCAATGATGAAAATATTTCGGTAAATTTTTGTAGTTTCCAAAACAATCCCTGCTAGCTTGCCTTTTTGAAATTATGATTTTAGGTACCGCAGCACATGCAAGTGCTGGGGAATCAAGCGCCAGCGACGAGGGGCAGAGGACGAGGAAGGGGAGCGGCAGCTGCAGGAGGAGCGGCATGTGGAAGGAGATCGGTACGTTAAAAGTTAATTTTTTTTTTCAAGGTTGGCTAAAAAGGATGCTAAAACGTTTTGTACTATTTCTACAGGTGTAAAATTTACAATTTTTAGCTAAAAATACGAAAATCTCCATTTTCGACCAAAATGACGATTTTTACGCCAAAATTTCGAATAAAAAAAAAACAAAACCCAAAATATAGTTAATTTTTATTAAAATTTTTTTTATCTTTCCCAATAGGAATAAATTACCCCGATATTGCAAAAGCACCCAATTTTAAAATTTTCCAGGGTGACGGGACGAACGCGCCGAAATGCAAGTGCCATCTCGCGTCGGTGATGCGCACCGTCGTCAAGGAGGGACCGAATACCGGGAGAAAGTAAGCGCTTTATTCACCCCCAAAATTTTCTTCCAGATTCTACTCGTGCCCAAAAGACTCCACGGCCCCCGACCGATGCAATTTCTTCCAGTGGGCCACCGAAGCGCCGTAATTTATCAAAGCTCCTCGACCCGAAAATGTTGTTTCCGATTTCCCTAATAACTCTGTGATCTCAATATGACGTGTCATTCCATTTTTCTTTCATCGTCTTCTCGAGCTATTTCTATCATATTTCCCCCCCCCCCCTTTTTAGGAGGCTTGTTGTGTGTGACGATTCCACGTGCCGATTTCTCTCCATTTTCTAACCCTATAAACGTTTTCAATTTTATTTGGAACTCAGAAACACGTGTGAAAAATGTCGAAACGTGAAAAAAAAGTCATTATTTCTCTTACTTTTTTATTGGAATTCAATTCTTTTAAAACCTAATTACCTTTTTCTATCTCTTCGTCTTTCTAGTTAAAATCTAGTTTTGAATATTTTCTATCGTACATATTTGAAAATTCAGTTTACTATAGTTTTACTGGTATTTTGAAACAGAAATTCCTTAGCGGCTAATTCTGGGTAATTTTCTATAGCTAACTCATAAAATACAGACTATTCTTTAGTAAAAACTGTTTAAAATCTAGTTTTGTCTATTTTCATCGTAATTCCTTTAAAATCCAAATTTTACTATTTTTCTCAGAAATCCGAAAATTCTGTTTCAAGGTACAATCCTCCAACGACAATGATTGGTGAATTTTTCGCTTTTTTTTGCAGCAAGGATTCGAGGGTCTTGTAATTTTATTCGAACTCAGAAACCCGTGTGAAAAAGTGAGAATTCATAACCGGGAGGAATACACGGAAAGACACAGATGACATAGGAGGAATGGATAGACTGACAAACATTAATTCAACAACCGGTGAAAGCGACAATATCGACAGATTGCACGTATTGGTCGTGGGCTTCGAGTTGTTCGATGAGTGCATCGACGGAGACGACTTCATCCTCCACGCAGGCGATGATGCGCAACTTCTGGAGGCCGTAGGCGATCGGGACGAGTTTGCTCGGGCCCCAGCTCAGTCCGATCATGAATTCGCCGCGCATCAACCGCTCCAATTGCACCAGATTCGTTTCCGCTTCCAACGGCTTGATGTCGAGCAGGATGGTGGAGCGTGGCGACTTTAATATCATGCCTGGAACCGCGGCTTTCTGCTTGTCTCGAAGGGCGCCGGCCACGTCGTCCGAATTGATCGTCAACGCCGAGAAGCCGCCGGGGCCGAGGAGTTGCTGCTCAATGTCCTCGAAGCTGTCCATCCTGGAAAGGAAAATATAATCAGAAAGCGCGCTCGACTCGGAAAACAAAAGAAAACACGACGGAATTAGTGATACCGTATCGCTTATACGGTTCTTTTGCAGCATCGGCGAGAGAGAATTTTTGTATTAGTCTAGAAAACCAGTGAGGAAGTATTTTATTAGAGTTTTTAGTAAAATAAACTATATTTCACCAGAATAATTATCTAAAAACTTTTTAAAAAAGTAGAAACTTTGATCGAAATCGGCCTTTTTGGTCGAAAAATAACCTTTTTGTAGGTTTTGATCAAAATTTGCAAGGTCGTTACGTGAGGAATCATATAAAGCAGTCTAGAAACAATTTATCTTTTGTATTTAAAAATCGGATTCGGCGAAAAGCGTTCCACACCGGTAATGCCCAAGAGCGCGAAGTGCGCCTGGAAATTTAGTAATATAGCGTCTAAAATACGCGCAATGGCTTCAAATTACACCGCTTAAAAGCAAAAAGTTTATTCGACAAATCGGGCTCTCCAATCTTTGGGAATACACCGAGATTCAGACGGGCTGGCCGCGGGGTAGGAGGGCGCTACGAATGGATACAGGTTGACAGTCGAACCGTAAAGCCACAAGAAAAACACAGCACAAGACAGGAAAGCACATCAAAAAATGGGGAGCTTGATCTTTGGCATATCACTGGTATTTCCATGCGGATTGGGCTTGCGATATCAACGACTTCAGCGACGGGTAGAAGGCCGATACCTGAAAAAAATAAAAATAATTTCTACTTTTCATTAAATGCTATTCCGATAAAAAATAAATGTGATTCTTTTGCAGAATCAAAGAACTTTTTCCTTAAACAGCTTATAAATATTTACCTCCACAAAATCGTGCCCATTCGTCACCATTTGTTGGGAAATTTGGAGGGCCAAGCGGTAGTCGCCCTTCAGCGCCGCTTCACCGCAGCCTCGCAGAAGAGATTTCGTCACGGGACCAATCTTAAAAATGATTTATTTTTAAAAGAATTAAAAGGAAAAAGAAAAAAAGAATTGATACCTGCTGCCGGCCCAGCCGTTCGGCGATATCACGGTGGAGACGTCGTTTCAGGTCCTCGACCTTGCTAACTATCCCCTAAAATGTGTTGAAAATGAGGTAGAAAATTGCTAACCGGATGCTTGGTGCAGGCAAATACTCCATCGGCCGTTTGGAGGAACAGATCGACGATTGCCTGATCTTCAGCGTTTAGGTAGAGGGCAGCCTGGAAGAAATGGCTTAGAAAAGGCGACGTAAACGCCGAAAAAAAGGCGCGAATTGACAAAAGCACAAAACCGGTAACTTTTCCGTTCTGCTTCGTTAACCGGGGAGAAAACGCATATTTCCTACAGCAGCGGAATGTTTTTTAGAAAATTTGTATAGCACTTCTAGCCATGCTTTAGTAAAAAATCATTTTCAAATGCTAAAATTTTAGAAAATGTTGAATTTCGCCAAATATGCACAAAAAAGTTTCCTCGCCCCCAACGAACCGGCCGTTTTTTTCAGTTACGCTATGTAAGAAACGTTAGAAACGAACCGGCACTTCCGGCTCGACAGGTCCAGAGGCTTGAGAGACCGGGGAAAGCTGCGATCCGGGGCTCTGGGCTGGCGGAGGAGCGGCAGAGGGTTGTGCGGCCGGCTGCGTGGTGTGCCAATGGAACTAAAAACCCCTTTATTTCTAGAATCCCAGCCAAAAGTACCTGCATAAAATTCTGTGGTGGCGTCGGCTTGGCTTGAGTTTTTTGGGCGAGCGCGGGCGGGTCATTCCAGCCGGCAGTAGGTGGAGGGAGTGGCTGAGAGGGCGCCGCCTGAATCAAAATCAATTATAAGAAGTTTGAAGGTAAAACAAACCTGAGCGGTCATCGCCGGAGCCATGTAGGACTGTTGATAGGGCATTTGGGCAGGCTGTTGGCTTTGATATTGTTGTGGCATTTGAGCAGGTTGATTGGCATATTGCTGAGGCGTGGGCGCAGGTTGAGAAGGGTATTGCTGGGGCATTGTCGTCGGCTGCGAAGTGTACTGGGCCTAGAATTTAGGAATTTAAAGCATATGAAAAACTAGATACCGCTGGCCGCGGCATCGCTTGCTGCTGTTGAGGATATTGAACCTGGTGTTGTTGCGGTGCTGCGGGTGGCTGTTGAGACTAAAAAACAGAAAAATATAGCAAAGATGCAAAAGTGTACCTGTTGCTGCTGTGCTACCGGCTGTTGTGGGGCGTATTGTGCCTAATATTATAAAGTAAGAAACGTCTGAAATTATATACCTGTTGCTGCGACACCATTGGTTGCTGTGGAGGGTATTGAACTTGTTGCTGCGGTGCCGCTGGTGGCTGAGGAGGGCGTTGGGCCTAGAATTGAAAGCGTTAAAAATTCTGCAAAAGGATACCTGTTGCTGTGGCGCTGCGGGTTGTTGTGGAGCGTACTGAGCCTGGAATTAGACAATTACGGGGGCGTTAAAAAATAAATACCTGCTGCTGCGGCGCCACCGGCGGTTGAGGGTATTGAGCCTGAAATTAAAAGGTTTAAAAACGACTTCAATAAGTTACCTGCTGCTGCGACACCGTTGGCTGCTGTGGCGCATATTGAATTTGTTGCTGCGGTACTCCCGGTAGCTGTGGAGGGCGTTGAACCTCGAATAGAACGTTACAAAACTCGTTAAAATAGACACCTGTTGCTGCGACACCATTGGCTGCTGTTGTGGAGAGAATTGAGCCTGGAAATTCGAGATTAAACGCAAAATTACACCATACCTGCTGCTGCTGGTGATAACTGCTATTCGGAGAATAGGCGGATGGATTTGGCGGCAGGTAAGAGGTACCTAAACTAAGGTAAAAAAAACCACAATAAAAGCTTGCCGTAATTTGGGGCCGCTGCCGGTTGCGCGTATTGAGCCTGAGCGGCGTATTGTGGAACGGGCGCATATCGAGAACTGCTCGCCGCCGGCATGCCGTTGGAAGAAGGCATCTAAAATTGACGATAAACGCACTGGAAAGTAAATGATACCTGCTGATATGCCGGGGCTTGAGAGTACGGCGTCGACATCGAGGGTTGCGACACGTAAGAGGGCTGAAAAAATAGTATATACGAATCAAGGAAATGCGCCGAACCTGTTGCGGCGGTGGCCAGGCCATCCCGACACGGCTGTAGCGGCTGCAGGAAGCTGTAAAAGAGGTTATAAAGAGCATTGAAAGAGGGCAGTAATCGAAAGAAATGAGATCCGGAAAGCGTAGAATATCGCCAAAAAAGAAGATAGACTTTGCGCAGGCGCAAAAACGGCAAGCCAGCCCAAACCGGAGGTTCCGCGCGGGCAAGAAGGCCAGGAAATCTAGCGCAATAAATCCAGGAAAACAATCTCCAGTTTTAGCCGTTCCCAAAAGTTTCCCACAACCATTCGAAAATCAACAGAGCTGCGCAACGACAACCACCAAAATAAAACGATCCAAACGCAATTCTCCCCGTGTCAATGTGCAACGAATCAGATTCTGTAATTAAGATTTATCACCACACAAGAGCCATATTCACAGCACAAGTTAAAAATGGAAATTCACCGGCTGGTGGGGATTGTACAAGGGGCAACCGGGGTGGCATAAGTGAATGAACAGGGTGGTTAAAGAAAGAATTAATTTGCGAGGGGCGGGGCGTTGGCTTGTCTTCGAATTGTTCGACGCGGCGGCCGCCTCAGTAGCCGGTGCTGGCCAGGTACTGCGACAGCTTCTCGACGGCCGAGCGGACCTCCGTGCCTTCAGCCGAGTCGCCCTTGTAGATTGCGATGAGGACCGCTGAAAAAGAGAAATTGGTTACGAACAGCCACTCGACAACAACGAGCTCGTTTTGCTGACCAATTGTCAAGAAAAACGGATTGATTGGCGCTTTTCGACCAGACGATTTGGTTTTTTCGCCGAACCTAGGGACGTTTGACGCGCGGAACTCGAAAAAGAACAACACGGGTGCATTTTCATCCAAAAAGGCCAGTTCAGAGTGCCAAACCCGAGGCCGAAACGTGACGATAATAGTAGGTGCGTTACACCGGATCGTGGCGCACGGATACCGGTAGCGAACCGCTCCACTTTCACAAAACGCGTCAATCTTCTGATCCACTTGTCACATTTTCACGCGAAACAAGAAAAGTTCAACCCATTACCTTGCTGTGACTTGGCGGCAAAGAAGCCGGTCTTGTCCTTCTTCCCGAAGATCACGGTGTCATCGGCGCGCGGGACGACGTAGTGGATCTGCTCGAGGTCGGCGCCGCGGGCTGGCACTTGGTCCGGGGTGTTGAAGCCGGTCACCAGCGACTTGAGCTCGGCTTCGGTGGCCTAAAATCAAAGTAAAAAAGCCAATGCAAAACAAGCTCACCGCAAATTGTTTGTCGCCCTCGGTCCTCGCCCAAACCGATCCGTCGACGCCGACGATGGCGGCGCGCTCGATGTGCGGGGAGGCGGTGGTCAGCGTGCTGATGTACGAGTCCCAGCCAGACATCCTGGTTTCTGAAAAGGAAAGATTAAAGCAGGAACTGTAAAAGGCCGCCAGGGAATACGGAATAAAGAAACTGAGAAAATCTAAATTGATTTAAGTTGATTTTCAAAGACCAAAGCTAACTAGAAAAGCCGAGACAAGCTAAGAAAAAGAGAGGTCAAACCGAAACAAAAAAATTTAAGCGTCACAATTTGATTGCAGACAATAGGCCAAGTGAAAAAGCAGAGAGAAGCAAACGAAAAAGAAGACGATACGGAAATTAAAAGTAAAAGAGAAGCAAAAATTTAGGAGAAAAAAGCGCCGAAAATAAATGCGAAAATGAAAAACGTCGTGTGTTGCTCGGCCTGGTTCCCCGGCTACGGTAATTGCGCCGGGGCGCCGTCTAGCATGCAGCCCGGCCGTATCGTGTCGGAAAACGGGCCGGTTTTCGACAAAACTTTCATAAAACTCTTGTAAAATTTAAAATTTAATCGAATTCTGGTCTTCGATATCGATATTTTCGCTGTTGATTTTTCCAAAGCATCGAAGGGCACCGCCTCGGCACAACTCAAGGCATTTTGCGTGATCAGAAGCTTTTAAAACTCCTTAGGAAATGAATCTCCCGCCTTGGCGATGAAGTCGTCATTTTCAAAGCGGGTTTGTCATTTTAGTCCCATTAGGAATTCTATTGTGAAGACGTGGCGGTAAGGAAGTCGATCAATCTTTGGTTCTTGCGAAACCGGGCAATTTTTGGACCTCAATCGTTTGGCTTTAAATGCACGTAATTTTACCAGAGTAACCGCGTTCCGATCCAGCAGGCTTGAAAAAAGCAATTTTTCAGGTAAAATTGTTTCTCAAAAGGCTTTATTTTTCAAAAATAACGACAAAAAATTGCACACCTCAAGAAGCTAATTTACAAGCTCCTCTTGACTTTGAAATTTTTAAAATTCAGCTAGAAACCCTGCTTTTAGCTCATTAATGCGAGCTTTGCCGCCATTTATCCCCGACGCGCGCACAGAAAAACGGGACCGGCATCCGATGCAGAAAGGGCATGTGGTTTTAACGTCATTTGGAACGCTTCGGTGCGCCGCGGTGAGGCGCCGCCAAGCGCCAATGGACGCTGCCATCCGTTGCCCGCGAGACAGATGTCACCAAGGCGCTCCAATTTGCATAAAATGCTTCGTGCTTCGTTTGCTTACTTTTGGATTCAGCCCCTTCAGATTGACGCGCTAAATTTCGCCCCAAATGGCGCTTTGGATATGATTATTTTAGTTTTAGGAGCCAGGAAATGGTTTAGAGTAGTATCGACAACTCTAAGATGATAATTGAGCGTTTCAAAGTACAAAATTGAATTTTTTAAGCGAGGAAATCCCGACGCTCGAAAATACCGACACCTAAAGCATCGATAGCCCAAATACCGGCTCAAAAATGTCAGATTTTTCGGTATTTTTTCAGTGCCGGGTTGGGGTCGGCATGTTGAGGAGTCGGTATTTTTAGATGTGTCCTGTTATCGAGCCGCATGTTTTATTTGAGCGCGGGCTAAGCCGTTTAATTTCGCAAATTTTACGGTTGTCTTACTGTAGGTAACACCAAAATTTTGGTGCGGTTTTACAAAAATAAATTATGGAAATTTGCAAGGATAGGCTAGGAAATAAACAAGAGTCTAGATGCGCGATAAGCAATGAAAGGAACGGTTGTGGGATGGGTTACGTGTTCTCGAACACATGGAAAGGGATGACTGGTCACCGGGGGGAGGGACACGAGCAATCGCTTCTCCCCGGTCTCCCTTCCTCTCCCACATCCTTGCGGCAAAAAAAAAAGACTGTAGCAGCTACAGTCGGACAAAAACTTTCGGACAAAGCTTTATTCGGATTGTGCTTGCGATCTTTCGATCCGTCAAAGTTTTTAAAGTAAAAAAAAATTTAGAATGAAAATGAATTCATCGATTTTATGTGCTTGTTTTCCTGGATAGTGATTTTTATCGAATCACGAATTTTTCATTTCCAAATTTTATGATCAATCTGTATTTTCAGCGAAATCTCGAGTTCCTGATTCCCCCCTCAAAAATGTCGTCTTTGGCGCCAGCGGATGAACTAACAGATGAAGAGCTAAAAGGTGAGCAGCCTTATCCAAAAATAAAAATCCGGGATTTTAGCGTTAGAATCGACGTTCGAGGCGATCGACGTGAAAGAGGCCGCGGAGACTGTCGGCTTCGCATCGATTGCCGTGCAGGTAAGAGGGCTACTTATCTGTCATATTCTTTAAAATCCCATACAACATCGTTAGCTACGGTTTTTACAGCCTAACTAAACAAATTTCACTAAAAAAACCTCTTCTGCAATTTTTACGACCTAAAATTGAGTGTAGCAACGGTATTGGCGCGTAGTCTTCCCAATTTCTCATTTTTTCACCTCTCATTCGCCCATTTTCCGTTTCTTTTTTTCTTCTTCGAATTACGAAAAACGAATTCTAACTTTTCCAGGTTTTCACCGCGATCGGTAAAAACGGACTCAAGCCGGGCATGCGGTTCGGAAAAGCGGAAGTGGCGAAGTTGTACGCTGGCACGACGGCCGGTTAGTTGCTTTATTTTTGGCGTTGAACCCAGTATTTTTAGAATCCTTCGAGGAGGACCTTGTGAGAAAGCCGGGAACGGGAAGGCCGAAGCGCCTGATTCGGGTAAGGAATTTTATCGTATTTTTGGTGAGAATTGAAATTTTTGGGTTTTTTTACCGTGGAATTTAACTTTTTTGAACGTATATTTTTTTGAGGAACGCTCGCCATCCCCCTCAACGGCAAAGCCAAAGATGTTGACGCGGTCGAAGCGAGAAGACGCCACGAAGGAATACCCGCCCTGTGTCCGCTGCAAATGCACCAGTTTTCGCGTGGTTGACCCGGGCCGGCCGGACAGGAAACGGTAGAAATTGATTGGTTTATTAACGCTAAAATATAGGTCACTTTTTGGTGATATAACTCGCGATTAAGGGTTAGTTTTGCTGTTTTTAACGCGAAAGCTTTGAAAATGCCCGCTGAAAAGCTCGTAGTTTTGTAAAATGTTTTTCATTAGGTCGGTTTGCCCGATTTTTTAGGATAGTAAATATAAAACTTCTAGAAAACAGGACAGCTTTCTCGTTATCTATTTTTCGCGGAAAATCCTAGGCATCCGCTTTTTTCCGTAAATGTTTGCGCTTTTGTAAAACGACGAGTTTAGGCCACATTTATTCCGATTTTTAGTGTAATCGAGTGCCGAAATATGGACTGCCTGGCCTCGATCGCCTACACCGAATTGGAGGAGGGCGAGCTGCTCGGAGCGCAGGAAGAGGTACATTGTCGCTTTTTCAAGATTTAAATTGACATTTTTCAGGTGGAATACGGCTGGTACCTGCGTGATTGGGAGGAGATCTACTACCCGAAAGTCAACGAGGAGCAACGGTGGATTGGCAGTTTATGGTGAGCTTTTCTATACTTTTTCAAGACGCTTGTGAGGGATTACATGCTGTATTGACCTTTAGAGCGCCCAAATTCATCGATTTCGCGTCGATTCCTGGACGCATTTTTCTGACTAACACAGCTAGGGTGCTAAAATAGCGTGCCGATTCCGCAAATAGGATCAGAATTTGCAAGTTGCTGCGTTTTCACGTTCAAACAACGTTTCAAATTTTCAAAGCTATTTCTGGAATCGTTAGGCGAGTTAAACCATTTTAGATTTGTCAATTTTACGGCATGTAATTCACGCGCGCGCAAAAATTCTGCAAGAAAGCATTTTTCTCAAATTTTCGGCCATTTTCGGAGCTAAATAAATTTGCTGATCCTCGTAGCGGGTACCGCTTGCATTTTTTTTGCGAATTTTGACTTTTTAATCTCTCTAAAACAGTTTTTGTTTGTTATTTTAATCCCTATTTTCAGTGACATTCCCCCTGCAACGGTGACAATTCGTCGAGACGCCGACAATCGCCCCCAAGTCATGGTCCCATTCCAGCGGCAACTCGTCTCTTTGTTGTGAGCCGGTTTTGTTGTTTGATTTTTTGCTTTTTAAATTCTTTGCAATAAATGGTGCTCTTTGAAAATGCGGATTCTTTTATACATTCAAATCGAGGTGTTTTTTTTAGGCCCGGGCCAATCTTGGTGTAAAAATTGACGTTTTATAATTTCAAAAATTTATCCGGAAAAATTCAAAGACCTAGAGCAGCATGGGGAAAAACATAAAACGATAATTATTCACAACTTTGATGGTGGGGGATTTTTAGAAATATCATTTGTAATTTCATTTAATTTTTGTTGTAGCAATGACAGTTTTTTTGGAATTAAATAAATTAGGTTAACTCGTATCCTTTTTTGAAGATCTTAATCGATTAAAACTGAATTTTCAGCAATATAATGATAGTTTTAATCCCAAAGAATTGCTGCTAGCTTGCCACCTCTAGAAATCGACAAATTTATGCTAATTTTGCGTCTAAAATGGAGAAAAATATTGGCGAGAAAATGGCTATGATACCGTACCCCGAGGGAAAGAGCTGTGGGCATATTTTAGAAAAGGATAGAAATTGAGAAAATAATGCGAAAATGGAGAGACGCAGAGAAAAATAGAGCAAAAAAATCGTTCATTAAAATAATAATAATAAAACGAATGGCAGGGTGGAAAGGGGGATTTTATCACAGACGCAACAGGATAGCAACATATAGAAAAAAAATTGAGAATTCGCAGTTTTTATTAAACGTAGGCGGCGGGCTGCCAGATGAACGAGTTCGCGTCGGGCTCCTCGTCGTTGATGATCTGGAAAATGGTTGGAGTTTTAGATTAGAGAATAGCGATGATTTTTTGCAATTTTCAGCAAAACTACAAGCTACAAAATACATTTTTTTCGTTGGAAACTCGGCGAATTGCATGTCGTGTACGATCGTTTGGCTATTTTTGCGGATTCTACAAACGCTTGGAATTTAGGGTCAGAAAATTGCGGCGGTTTTTTTTAGATTTTTCAGTTTTTTTTATATAAAATCGGCGCATTAGATGACGTGGCATTTACTCGAAACAACGGATTGTTCAGACTTTTAGGAATCTTGCCATTTTTCAGGCGTATTTTTTTGCATAATAACGCTTAATTAAACCTGTTTCGAATTCTTTTGTGGTTAGGCATTTTATTAGTATGGAAAGACGCACGTTAAAACATGGGCTTTTAGGTTAAACATAATTTCGAAAAGCCTACCTTTGTAGCATAAATAGCGGGTGTCCTCGGCGTGTCCCCATTACTTTCTTTCGCATATAATTGAGGGCTTCTCCTCGCCGGACCGGGGCTTTTTTCCGGGGTCGTCCCCTTGTCGCCTTCGCCTTTCTAAAAACATATTTTCATGTCAAAATTTTCCGCAAAGAATCTCTGCTAGCTTGCCCCGTATCAAATTCAAGTTTAGCAGCGTTTTTCCATAAATTGTCTCTTCTAGTTTGCCTTTGGCCAGAAAAGCGGATAAAATCGTAGCTGAAACGTACATTTTTAAATATACTGAGCCTCTTCTTGGCGGGTTCTTTTTGATGTGCATCGGCCATTTGTTCTTCTCCGCAATAGACACCGGAAGCGACCCCTTGGCCACTTCGCCGTCGGACACCAACCGCTACAAATTAGCTAATTTTGTTTTTTTAGAGATTTTCGGACTTTTAAAGCCGTTGATAAAGCCAAAAATCGACCCCTTCCATCGGCTAGGTCTCGACAATCACGCGATACCCCTAATGACAAGTTGCAAAAAAGCGTTTTTGCACTTTTTCTGCAATTTCCCATTTCTGGTCTTTATAAAAATGTTTTTTTAACGTGACAATAGACTTGTTGCGTAGCTGTCTAGACCGAGTCGATATTGGGGGTTGATTTTGGCCCTTTCCAACCCCTTTAAAGTGTCAAAGCTTACATTGTGGTCCTTTAACGGGTGGTTTTTGCTCCTTTGGACTTTCCGTTTCTTTATTTGTGACCGCGGCAGAGGCTTTTCGCAGAAATTTCGTCAAGCCGAGACTGTGCTCACCCTGTAATCGTGGAATTTTCATGGCTGATTTTCTTTCTCTCTGTCGCTCTCTCTCTCTCTCTGTCTCTCTCACACTCTCTCTCACGCTCTCCCTCTCACACACACTCTCTCACGCTCTCTCTCTCTCTCTGTGTCTCTCTCTCAAACACGCTCCCGCTCTCTCTCTCTCACACACTCCCTCACGCTCTCTCTCTCTCTCCCTCTCTCTCTCTCTCGCTTTCTCTCTCTGGCGCGCTCTCTCTCTTTACCTTCAGTCTCGATCTCTCCGCCTCACTCGTGATTTCGCAATACGAAATATCTCCATGTTGGTGGTACTGTAGGAGGGCATTCTGCTCGAAGGAGATTGTATTCAACGGGTCCCGCCAATTCGTTCGCGGCTCTTTCGCAAGCTGACGCTCTAAAATTTGGCATTTTATACCTAAATGATTGTAGTAACTTAAATAAATTTAAATCGCATTAGAATCCAAAATAAATAGTGTTTGCGCTAGCGCTATAATAATAAACCAGAATTTTGGCTCTAAGATACCGTAAAAATCTTAGGAATGCGTAAAAGTTATTAAAAATGATATAAAAATATCCTAAAATTGGTTAAATCACCTTCATTTTGTTTTAAAAGAAAATATCTGGTTTCTTTGGCTTTTTGATACCTTGAAATTGTGCCTGCGACATGACGGTGATGGTTCTCGAGCCGATTTGCACGAGCGGGATGGAGAGGCGACTGAAAAAAGTTCGTAGATTTTGATTTTTAAAGGGAGTCTCACAGCAGATTTCTGGACTTTTTGACGACTTACCTAATTTGCTCTAACGTCCCTCCAATAACAACGACAGCCTGCGTGATATCGATCGAATATTTCGCTAATAGCGGTCGCAAGGCGGCGGCAGTTGAGAGGGATTGACGGGCACGGAGGAGAACGATTCTGAAAATGGAGAGTTTTTAGGTGCATTTTGTAGTTTGTTGTACATTTTCGACAACTTCAAGAACTCGAAAGTGCGTGAATCGACCCTTTCTCTCGACTAGGTCTAGATAACCACGCGACAGACCTAATGACGTGTCGAGCCCATTTTTCTCGTAATTTGACGTATCGCGTAGATGTCTAGACATAGTCTATTCCCGCTTTTTTAGGCTACAAAACTTGTGACCAAATTGAGCGGTTTTGGAAAGGGTGAATATCCCTCCTGCGTCGATTAGTTCTAGACAGCTACGCGACGTGCCAAGTTCCGCGTCCAGTCTCGTTTTTCTCGTCATTTCACCTCTCGAGTAGCTTTCTAGACCTGGTCAACAATTTTTTTTCCGCGCTTTCTGGCCCATTAAAAAAAATTGTATTTTGTAGCCTGTAGCGCAGTTCACAAGTCCTAATAAAAGCTGACTTTGCTGGCGTAGATTGGGGGCTTTTGAAATTGAAATTGTTGGGGAGAAGCTCAACGGCGAATGTGACCACGGCCACGATACGGACGAAACGATTCTGGAGGGCGTCGATCGCTTGACGGCATGGGTCGATCGTGCAGGAAGTCTGAAAAATTAGAGTAAAAAATGGATAGTCAAAAACCCATCTAATTTAGGGTAACTGGGTAAGCTAGCAGAGATTATTTGAGAAATCTGGATCATACGGGTCAAATTCAAAGGCAAACGAGCAGAGATCCTTTCGGAAAAGTTTCGAGAAGCCGAGGCGAACTAGCAGAGATTCGTTGGGGGAAAACCGGGGTTTTGGAAGTTGAGGAAAGCTAGCAAAGTTTCTTTAGGAAAATTAAACCCCTCAAAATACCTGTGCATCGACAGCTTCACAGGATTTCTGATCCAACCCGAGTTTCGCGGCCATCGTTTGTGTCCATTTGGCCACGGAGAAGCTCTGGAAAATGTTAGATGCCCTAAAAAACTTCGAATTCGCGTACCGGATCATCCAATTCGACAGTTTCCGATGATAGTGAATCTCCACTCATCAATGTGCAGAATTTAATCACTTTCGGCGCCACTTTATTCGGACCGTGCATCTGAAAGGGGAGACGTTGTAAAGGGACCCGTGTTTTTAGTTGTTTTCCTTTATTACGTGACTTTACCATGTGTCGAAATTCGTCAAAAAAAGTTTTCATTGAAATTTTGCTTGAGACAAGCCCCAATTTAGGCATTTCTCTAAAATGCCTTAGAGCTTTCTTTCAGATTTTTGCGCCCCAAAATAACCAATTTCACTTCGCCGATTCGAAATGCAACTTCCTTTTCAGTTGCACAGTCTTTAAGGCAATTTTAAGCTATTTAGCTTCACAAAATTCGCTCAATTGTAAAGATGACCGAGAAAAAACATCGTTTTTCAGTCCTATTAATTTTTTGTATTCTTGTTGGCATGCTGTGCTGGAGACCAAGATGCTCTTGACCCCACGACACCGAAAAATAATGCAAAAAGCAGCTCCCGTCCGTCCCAGCCATAGCAAATCTCCAAAAAAAAAGAAATGTGCGGTTGCAGAAATGAAAAATAGGTGCAGTGCAATTGGTAGCAAATCACTTTATTGTGACACGATACGACAACCAGAAAATAGAAATGAAAAGAAAAGGAAAGACAGTGGGAGAGAGAGAAACTAAAAACTAAAAATAAAGATGCGGGTCGATACGATAAATTTTTGTATTTTTGAACTTTTCCCTTCTCAATCAGAATGCGATTCTTTACTAAACTGTCCGCTTACGGTATCGAAATCAATTAGGCTAATTTCACCATTTTTGGGAAAATTATACGTTTTAAATAGCCTTAAAAAGGCCCTTTTGTTGTTCCTAGATGTTCTAAATGGCTGCCAAAAAAGCTAAATCTCGCTATCAATCACCGATTACTACCTGAAGTCATGACACTACCTGGCTGGCACCGTCCCTTTAACACATCCACTCGATTTCGCTATGCAATTCATGAACCGTCAAAAAAAAACGACGTTTCGAATCAAACGAATATCCACGAAAAAAGCCTTCCTATCGCCTATTTGTACCCTTTTAAAATACCCGAAAATCCAAAAAATACATCCACAAATTATAATTTTATTCCGCCATGCCCACGCATCCACCCGACAACAACAACGACCACACAAAACGCACGACGTTCAGAAAAAATCCGGATAATCGAAAGAATGTTGACAGGATAGATGGTAGAAATTGTGGGTGTTGTGACGGAGATAGACCGCGAAAAGTGGGGAGAGGACAGAGAAAAAGAGGGAGGGGAAGAAATGGGCAGCATGCCAACGAAAATATAGTCTGTAGCCTGTAGTCCCGCCACACACCACAACAACAACGTAAAAAATGAAATTTGGTTTTTTTCGAAAAAACTGAAAAATGAAAAATAGGAAATTGCGAAAAGACAGCACGAAGCGATAGAGAAAGAGAGACAGCCAGAAGAAACACACCACGACACCAACGAGGAAAATAATATATACTTTTTGGGGGAGTGGAATATTATTCATGCCAGTGGGGGAGGTAGCTCTACGAACTAAGGGAGAGGCGGAAAACCAGAAACGGACCGGAAAAGGGTTGAAAAGGTCAATTTTTGTAGTTTGGAGCCTAATTTTAGCCAGTTTTGTAGTTTGTGGCTTAATAGATTAAATTAAAAGCCGATTTTAGCAAGACTGGACGCCAGAAAAGCTAAATATCGATGAATTTTGTCGTTAGGAGCCAAACGGAAAGTTTGTAGCTTGTAGTTAATGACAAAAACTATAAACAAAACTACTGTTATAGTTTGTAGCCGAAAAATTGGGCTAACTAGCCGCAAAAAGCCAATTTTTAGTCGATGCCAAAAACCACAAAGTGATTTTGTCGCCTGTAGCCGCAAATTTCTAGCCAAAAAATTAAAAACAAAGCTGTAGCATCAAATTCATGGGTCAAAAAACGTTAAAAATCGATTTTGTAGCTTGTCGTTTAGCTAAAAAAACTATAAAAACCAAATTTTGAGCTTCAAAAACCCTTTCCAAATCGATTTCCGGTCCGCGCTATCCTCTGCACGCACTAATAGATATAGGTGAGAGCCGGGTCATGCTCGGGGATTGACAGCAGAAATGTGCGCAGGCGTTTCGGGGTCAGCGTGCGCGTCTTCAGACTCGACGACCGGGTCACCGGACGGGAAGACCGAGGAGGAGGAGGAGGAGGAGCGGAAAAACGGACGACAGGATCGAACTGAGGAGTGCGAACCTCGACGGGCATTGAGATCTGCTTGTCGCGGGTGAAGAGATGGCGACGACGAGAGCCCACAGAGGAGACGCCCGCCTTCCCGCAGCCTCCCACTTCGTCCTCCAGCTCCGAGCTGAAACTGCAACGTTAGAGTAATTTTCGTAGAATCGGCAAAAAGGGCTTTTTTCTTTTCAGTAAAATGCAAAACAGCGTGAATTAAAAAGATTTTTGGAAAAATGCGTATAAAACTGTCTCTAATAACATGAAAGAAATTTCATCGGGGGGGGCACGTTTTTTCCTCGATCAAACTTTTCAAAAATAAAAAGAGAAAATGTTTCTAAATAGTCTTTTTCCCATTCTAAAACGTAAAAACTTCACAAAATTCTATTTCAAAATCCAAAAAAAGCATTTCAAATGCCTGATTTTCGACTAAAATTTGAATTTTTCAAAATTTTCGACGTTTTTAGATAATTTTCGCTTTGAAATATAGCTAAACCTAACTAAAAAATCTACTGAAAAAATCAAATTACAAGGGGTTTCTGGGCTTATCGGGAAATAAATAGCTCTCTCCACGATAATGGAAAAGAACCAGAAAAATCACTGCTTGATCAAAATCGGCTTTTCAATGTAAAAAATGTAAAAATCTTCTTTAGTTATCTAACAAAACCATCGTTTACGCCGAAAAGCGAATTAAAGGAATTATAAAAATTCCAATTACCTGTAGCTCTTCCTGCGATCCTCACTCGACGATCCGGCCCTCGACGACGAGGTGCGATGGATGGCCGGATGGCGTTGCTCATTGACAGGAGATCCAGCGCCCGAACTCCTCGTCCCGTCCTTTCCACCCTTCATGAAGCGGAAACGCTCGAAGAACGCCGACCGGCGCTTGTCTTTCGTCTAAAAACTCACAATAAAGAAGAAATTAGAGTAACAAACTCACCGAATTATTGGGGCTATCCGGCTTGAAGGCCAAGAAGGGCCATTTGCCCTTTTCCTTGGTGCTGCTCGGGCCGGCGGCCTCGTCGTGGTCGGGGCGGGCTGAAAATGAGAATTAAAAATGTTATTTGGATGACAAATAAACGAAAACATCGATAAAATTTACCAGAATCCTTTCGGCCCTCCTCGTCGGCGAGTTCCTCATCGCTGAATTCGGGCGCCACTCCCCCGGCTCTCAAGTAACGGGGCCAACAGTCGTATTTCAACAGGTGGAAGATCTGAAAATAATAAATAGATATTTTAGTCTTATTTATTAAACAAAAAAGAAGTCAAAACCGTGAAAAACTATCAAAAATACGTGTAAAACGTCAAATACACGTCAAAATACGCTTTTTGTTAAAATTTAGGCCAGAAAAATGAACTTTTGACCTTCCACAAACAGACCTGATACTGCGCGACGTCGTACACGTGCCGACTGTAATTCTGGTCCTGGATGTACTCGCGAATCTTTTTGCTCGTGCTGTTGTCCACGTTCACCGGCTCCATCGAATTCGGGGCAAAGTGGCGCTCGTAGATGCGCCGGGCGACGAGCTCGCGGTTTTCAATCTGAAAAAGGTTCTAATTACAAGTTAATGTGCGATAAATAACTTTAGAAAGTATATAAAATGCATAGTATAGACTTTATAAAGCTTATAATAGCCAAAAACTCATTCAAAATCGCTTTTTTTCAAGCTAGCCGTTTCCAAAATCGAGTTTTTTATGTGAAAATACGTTAAAAACCGTTAAAGAAACTTCATAATCCATCAAAACGTTGCAAAAACTATGAAAAACAAATCTTGCGGAAATCATCATTTTTCAAGCGATTTCCTGGAAACTAATCCTTTTTTCGAGGTTCTACGACTTTAAAAACTAAATTTAAGCTCCTTACCGCAGCCCTGGACGTCGAATCATGGGGCAAATCGTGGAACTGCTCGACGGCCACGTAGAAATTCAGGTTTTCGGCGCAGAATTGCTGCTCGAGAAAGTGCTGGAAGGGCTTCCGGAGGGCCGGGTCGCGCAGCACACGCTTGAACACCTAAACAATAGATTGGTAAAGTTTAGAAACCATGAAAAACATAACAAATCGTTTTAAAACCGACCTTCATCTCGCGACTCGAGTTCGTCTCCATGACACCGCCACAGAATGGCGGAATACCCATGCCTTCCTGTAACAAAATAATGAATATTTATTTTGCGTTATTGTTTTGTAAAAATAGAAAGTTTTAGGGGTGGAATTTCAATAAAAATGGAGAAAAGTTTAGAAGATTTTTGATACCGGTTTTTCAATCGATTACGCGATGAAAAGGGGTACAGTAGCCGATATCCGCGAAATAAAGTTCCAAACTCGGTTCTTTTTGCGCGGCCCAGTGCGCGGGACTTGGGCTTGCGCGGCCCCGTGCGCGGGTCTCGGAAAATGCGCGAGGGGCGCGCGGCTGATTGCGCGGGACCGCGCTTTCTCCCGCGCAATCAGCCGCGCAAGGAGGATGCGCGGTCCCGCGCATGTCGTGCATCGTTTTAAACGTACTAAGCGACAAACTCGTGGCATTTTGCGAATTTTCACTCCTGACAAAGTCAAGCTTGGAAATGGAACTCGGTCGACGATGGGCCGGAAATAAAAGGTGACTTTACTTTATAATGATATTTATGGACTTTTTTTAGATCCCAACAGCATTTTCTCACAACTTTTCATCCCCAAGCCAGTTCTCCCCGAAAAACATGACATTGGAAGGCCGAAGGAAGATCCCGTGAATTTTTTTGGCAGTGAGGTAAGATTTTTGGTTTTTCTTTTTTTCTCTGAAGTTTTTTGTTTTCTACAACGAGTTTGTTGACAGTAAACTTTTAGACAAACATCCTCAAAAATCTACAACTACAAAGGATTGGAACGGAGCGGGCGTGCTGCACAAGTCCGAGTCAGCCGGCCAATTGCGACCCATCGAATTCACGGTAAAAGGATAAACTCTAATTAAAAACCGGCTTAGAACCACGCGGCCGAAGTGCCCATCTTTGAGAAAGCAAAACCAGAACCAGCGGAAAGCAAGCCACGTGCGGTCGCGGCTACCAAGAAGCCTGGAGACCAGGTGATGTCTTGGTAAACTTTGCTGAAATTGTATTCCAGAAATGCTTTTTGGAGGGAATTCGCCAACGTAACGGGGCCACTGGCGAGACGAATGGGGGTGAAGCGAAAGTTGCGCAGGCTGAGCCAAATCACGAGAATGATTGGGTGAACGCGAATACGAAGGGTGGAATTACTCTGATATAGTAAATTACTACTTTCAAAGCAGATTTTTTTGCGCTCTTGTAAGCGTTCTTGATGCTCGCTGGTGACATATGAGAATCCGGTGAGCATTTTTTTTATAGGCTTGAGGCATCGACCGGCCAAGTTTATATGCGGCGGCAGAGTCAAGCCGGTCAGTAAAGTGAGTATTAATTGAATATCAACGAAAGGTTGATTTTTAGCAACTGACTTTGGTACAGGTAAGTGCCTATAATTAGCAAGCGAAAGTTCAACCAAAAAATATAATCTCAGGTTCACCGTCATGCTCGACCCGATATGCAGAAAAATAGCCTATCTTTTCGATTGTTGTGATATATTTATGATCAATAAATATCTGACATATCCACATACACTTCCGTTGCAGTAATACCTGCTTTTAAAGCAGGTTTAAACATTGTATTGAGTTTTTTATAAGGGGAAAAGCCCCCATGGTGGTTTTCGGCGGAAGCCGCGCATAGTCCCGCGCATTCCCCAGGCCCGCGCAATGGCCCGCGCATTAGCAAATGCGCGGGCCCTGTCGCTTGCCATTGCGCGGCCCGCGCATTTGGGCGCGCACTGGGCCGCGCAAAAAGAACCGAGAAAAGGCTAATCGATCTAATTTTTCGATAAAAACTTTGTAAAAAGTAGTTTTTAATCGATTACGCGATGAAAAGCGCTACAGTAAGTCCCTATCCGGATCCATCCACAAAATAAAGTTGCCGAAAATAGATATGGGCTGGTTTTTGGCCAAAAAGCCGTCAAAAGTTACTTTCACAGTTTTGAATGGATTTTAAACTTTTTTATATTATTTTACATTGTTTGAATATTGCCTACCATTTCGGCAGTGGCCGATGTGCAGGGTAATTGCTGTGTGCCCGTATTTTCCTTATCAAAATCGTCTCTCATTCTCTCGTCTTCAGTATTGTTGAGAGTGGCTGTTGTCTTGGCTGCTGCTTCTTCTTCTAAATGCCGATCCCTTCTCGCATCACTCCAATCCGATGATTCCGCGTCTAAACCAGCAGTTTTTAGTGAGTTTTTCGCAGTTTTATTGGATTTTAAAGATGCTTTAGTTTATTATAACTTTTCAAACAATCGGTTCTCGGATATTCTGAGCTCATTTTTACCTTTGAGTACGTTTTTAATGGTTTTTGATCGATTTTGAAGACGCTTGAGCTTCGTTTTACTTTAAAAAAGGTGGATTTTACCTGTAAAAGCCTCGTAGAAGGACTCGGAGGTGGTGGTTGTGGTGTTGGAATTGTCGATGGACTGATCGAAGGTTGTTGCGTATCGTTTGACAAAGGCACACTCGCTCTCCGCGACTGAGTCCCGCTGAAAATCGTCGGTTAGAAACGGCTTTTGGTGAAATTCGCCGAAGTTTTCGAGGCGGAAAATGGGGCGTAGAATTTTTGAGGAGGAAGGTTTGGATTCAGCGACGAATCCGGAAGGTGAATATGAAGTCTTAGGGGTATTTTTGGCCTTCAAAATGACAGAAAGTCAGCTATTTTTTAAAAAGAAACCATATAAGAAATTGATATATTAAAAATTAATTTAGGCCAACTGCCAGTCAGTTTCCAAAATTTTCTGATTAGACTTGAAAAATTGGCGTAGAAAGGATGGCAAAACATGGAAATTGCGGATTTTCAGGATATTTTTGGACTTCGTAACGTAAAAAAAGCCCAAAAAAATCAGTGTTTTTTACGGAATTTTAAAGAAATCTTGTCAGTAAGAAACTTTAGCGGAATTAAGATCTTCTAAACTAGGCCAACTGCCAGCAATTTTGCAAATTCTATGGTTAGAAAATAAAAATTAGCGCTCAAAAGCGTAGTACAGTTAATATGGACAACTCCCGATCGGGAATTTTTGAGTTGTGATCGCCTATTTATGAGCCATTGGCGCTGGGTCAACATTATTTTATCAAAAAAGGGCTAGCTGGGGGGTGAGTAACTAGCCGCTAAAAATGGAACGGTCGACAGCAAAACGCCGCCAAAAGCGGACCCCAGCCCCTCGTAAAAACATTGTGAAAACATCAAGTGAACACGCGGGGGGCATTGTATTGGATGAACCCCCAAAACATATTGACAATTGGCGTGCGGGGAATTATCAGATGGCTGCCCGGAACTGTTCTGCTAATGAATTGGCGGTCAGTTAAACGGATGGCGTCATCAGAAAACGCTCAATTCTGCTAATTACGGTAAAATCGGCTTCATACCGTCTAAAACTGTTTACTGGCCGCCAGATCGCTGTGTAAAACGTTAAAAAAATTATTTGCAGGTGCTTTTGCATTATCGAGGGGTGAGTTTTTCGGGATTTTTCGGGGACCTGCTTTTTCAAAAACAAATGGTGGAAGTGTTTTTTAGTTGTTTTTACCATTCTAAGTCGCAAAAACTTTACAAACTTCTATTACGAGATAGAAAAAAAAGCGATTTTTGTATGCCTACCAAAATGCCTCAAAAAATCGCCAAATTCCTAACTGTCCCGCCACCTTTAAAAGTGCTAATTGCAGTTCGCGAGAATGTGTGTGTTGGTTGGATGACATTCGGGTTGAGTGTTGGTGGACGAGGCGAGAGAGAGAGAGACAGAGAGAGAGAGAGAGAGAGAGAGAGAGAGAGAGAGAGAGAAAGAGAGAGAGAGAAATAGAGAGAGAGAAATAGAGAGACAGGGGGGACAGAGAGAGAGAGAGAGAGAGAGAGAGAGAGAGAGAGAGACGGAGACAGGGGGCTAGAGAAAGCGACAGTCGAATACTAGGTGTGGATGGCAGAGTCAACAATTCTGAAATGAGAGGAACACAGCTCCCCCTCACCAGCTCTCGCGAGAATCGATTTGTAATCGAGATTTTTGACAGTTCTCCATGTCGATGAGCACCGGAAATTGGTCACTGGCAGCCAGAAAACCGAATTTTAGCTGTAAAAATTTTTTCGACTTTAAAATCGGATTAACTGGCATCCTAAGGTGAAAAACTTGTGCCAAAAAAAATTGTAAAATTTATATCGAAATTTTCGAGGGTAATAATGCTGAATTGGCAGTCAGGTAGCATTCAGATACCTTAAAAATTGAGCTGTCTTCATACCTTTAAAAGTTTTTTTCTGGAATCAGCTGCTCAATTTGGTCGATTAGATGTCAGTTTAATTGATTACGCCCTTAAAAAGCTATCTGGCCGGCTCCCTTTAAAATCAACATCAGAGCGAGGTAAAATGTCTGTCAGTTTGGCCAAAAAGTCCCAGAAATAATCCAGATACTGGTAAAAATTAAATTTTAGCGTGAAATCGTAGATGTTGCATGTCAGAATAGGTAGACAAACGGTCAGTTGAAATCCAGGAAAAGTCACGATCCCAAAAAAGCCGAAAATGGCAATCAGACAGCGGCATTTTGCCGGGCGGGCGGATGGCCAAAATGAGAGAAGGGAAGGGCCTCTATAAGGGAATGGAAAAGAGGAGAAGGGGGAAGAGAAGAGAAAGAGAAGGGAAGGGCCAACCAGCACACATAGCCCGAGGCTATTGGAAAGGAGAAGCAGCAGAAGGAGGGGGTGCGAAATCAAATTTGAAAGGGAGAGGCGGTCCCACTTTCTCTCTCTCACTCTCTCCCTCTCTCTCGCTCTCTCTCTCTCTTTCTCTCTCTCGCTCTCTATTCCATTCCATTCCTCTTCACACTCCCTTTTTTGAGGCTAGAAAGAGCCTCCCTCCTCCTCCTCCTCATTCACTTCTCAACACATCCCCATTCAGGGGCCCACGGGGAGAAGGGAGAGGTGGCCCACACGGCCCAATGATTCCACCCCCAAAGGCCCAAACTTAAATGGCCCTTAAACCGTTTGGGAATTGGATTTTGTAGTCTGCATGTCAATTTAGCGATATAACCGTCAAATCATCAAAATTGGCCATTTTAAAGGAACTGTCAAGTTTCAATGGCTGACCTCACGGCGGCACCTCGGCTACACAGAATGACTCAAAATTGACTGGCCGTTGAAAATTTTAAGAATTGGAAGATGTAAACTGGATGACAGTTAAGCCCAAGAAACCCTTGAATAAATGAAATCAGCCATTTTGAAGGGAGTGTGAGGGTAAATCAAGTGTGAAAAGCGCGGGTCATTGACTGACCGGGATAGGCCCAAAGTTAAACGACAAAACTTTTAAATCGATGATTCCGTAATATGGATAGCAGTTTAGTTAATTGTCTGGTTTAATTATGAGAAACAGCTTTTTCAAGTATTTGTGGAGGCAAAAACCTCCAAAAAATTGCAATCTGTCTGTCAGAGAAGCCAAAAAAATGCCGCGAATCCATAGTTCAAAAAATTTTTGGTGCGATTCCCGGCGAGACGACGACGTTCCCAGACCGAACATTTAGTGGTGGTTGACTTATGGGAGAGAGAGAGAGAGAGAGAGAGAGAGAGAGAGAGAGAGAGAGAGAGAGATGAGAGAATTCCATGGCAACTCGATGTATGGGAAAGGGATCGTGGTGGATATATTGGAACGCACGGCGCGGGTCTCAAAATAAATTCCAGCACTCAAAATACAACTGGAAAACAACGGAAAAAGGCTATACAAATCCAATAAATTTTCAAAAACTTAGAAGTTTTTTTTAAATTGACTAAAAGTGACCTAAAAGTCAGAAAGCTAAGCCGTCGTCATAATTTTTTTTAATTAGAGCAGGCATTTTTGACATCGACATTTTTCGTTACAAAGAAATTGGACTTAACAGTTTAATTTAGCAAGGAAATCGAAAAATTAGTCTTTTTTCGAAATTTCATCCACTTTAAAAAGTAATTTTCACTTTTAAAAAGTATAGAGATTTTAAAGCTAATTAAACTTTTAAAGCACTAAACTGGTATCCATTTTGCCCAGTCAAATTCTTGTCAAAAGGTTTTTAAAAATTTTACAAAATCAAAAATCTGTTAAAAGTCGAAATTCAGGCGTTTTTGGGTTTTGTTGATTTTTAAGCGTTTTTATAATGATTTAAACTTATAAACCACCGCACTGGCTACCAGGCTAACCATCTGAAAAATCTTCAAACTGAGTTTTGCATGAATGAATGAAACGTGAGAGAATTTGGGGGGTGGAAATGAGAAGCCGTTGCGGGACCACCCAGGGAGATGGACAGACAGACAGAAGGGGACGGGCACAAACCAATATATGAGGCCAATTTTGGCCAATTCTCTCGGCATCAAAAAGAAGAGAAAGAGGGCCCGCAGCCACACAAAACATCTCATCAACCACATCTCCTGGCCATGCCTTCTTGGGTGGTCTCGACACGAAGAAGGGCTCAACGAGAGGCATCCAGGGGATGAAGCCAATATTGAGGTGGGGCGAGAAGCTGGGCGGCATTGGTCACTTTTCAGCAAAGAATCTATGCTAGTTTGCCCTGGCCGAATTTCGCGAATTTCCTAAAGAATCTATGCCAATTTCACCTAGTGGTCGTCAAAATCCTAAGGAATTTATGCTAGCTCGCCCCGTGACTGAAATTAGAAACCCAGCGAAAAGCTAGCAGGGAAAATTCACGGAAAATTTTGGGTAGGCTAGCAGAGACTCTTTGAGGAAATGAAGCTGATAATGGTCATCTTTCCGCAAAGAATCTATTTCAGCTTCCCCCAGGCTCGTTTTGGCAAAAATGCCCTAAGGAGTCAAGGCTACTTTGTCGTGCTCCTCGGTGGAAAATTTTCCTAAAGAATCTTTGCTAGGCCCCACGATTTGTTTTTAGCAAAAAATGGTGCAGAATCTCTGCTAGCTGGCTAGCAAGGCGTATTTAGACAATGACGAAAGGCAAGCTAGCAGAAGCAAGCAAGCAGCCTAGCAAAGATTTTTTGAGGAAAGTTAATTAAGACGGGGTAGGCTAGCAAAGATTCTTTGAGAAACAGAAACCCAGGAAAATTGGCTGGACATCGTCATCCCTTTGTCCCTTCGTGGGTGGTCTATTCTAAAAAGTGTCCTTCCCCCCATCGACGAGGCCAATCCTCGAATCCGACGAAAAGCCAGAAAGGGGAAAGAAATTCTGAAGAGAGAGGAATGGCGTGTCTTGGAATGGGGAGCAGACTTTAGGGAATTACTAGCCTGCTACTGGATGGCCTGCTAATTACTACTGGATGGCATTAAAGGGGGAATGACCCTTGGTTTTCACAAGCGGGTCAAAAGGCAATCTAGCGGAGACCATTTGAGAAAAATTTCCAAAATCTGGAAAATTAAAGGTGTTGCTACAGTTGTTTTCGTGTCAAAAACTTGGAAATGGCAAGCTAGCAGAGAACACCTTAAAGGTCAAAAGGCAAACTGGCTGAAATCCAATCCAGAAATGACCTTTGTACTCGCCAACTAGCAGCGATCATTGAGGCCGACTGGCGGGAATTA